TGCTATCAGATACCTAAAAGGCAGCCAGCAAGCACGAAACAAATTGTTACCGGTACCTGTGTTATTTTTATTACAGTCATTATTATCTCGCAGAGTTACTTCCCTTCACTTCGCTCGAATGGTATAGGGTCTGGCGAAACCTTGATAGGGTCCGAGATACACTTTTACAATTTTTATGATCATTTATCAAAACTGCTAAATATACAGTAAATTATTGCAACAAAAGTTTTGATGTCCAACTCAAAGGATTTAATTTTCCATCCCACAAAGAAACTGGCGGTTTCATTTGCTTTTAAATCAGGCTTGAATATCTGTTTTTTTTTTAATTTTGCAGGTTTACAAAAGGTTAAAGGCAAAAGGATATATTTTCCCAGGAATTCATTGGTTGAATTATCAAAGTAATTATTGATTTATATAATACTACACGCATTTAAAGGAGGAGGGTTACAGGAAGGTGACAGTATTTGAGAAAAAACGACTACATCGGCGGGAAATCTAGGTCAATCCAGTATCGTCAGGTGCCACACGAAATGGGGACAGTATACACACAGCCCGACTACACGGAGATCTATAATCTGGTCACAAAGTTTAATGCTGGGCGCATCCTGACGATGCCACCACCGGACATATGGGTCAACGAGACCTCCCCAGGTAGGCTTTAACAGTTCAAGTATTAATGAATTGCTCTATATCAAATAACGGAATATGTCCCATCATAATATAATTTTCGATAATAGATATCGAAGTTCGGGAGTTTCAATGATGTACAAAAAATTGTCTCTCTTAGAAAAAAAATTATAGATTGAAAAAGATAGGACATACACAGAAAGAAACGGATTGTGTTTTCTACAACATGAAGACTTCTAGGAGATAATTGTTTTCAAACACCTTGACATACGGCGGTAAGCGAGTTCGGCGGTACAGCGGATGCATTTAAGAATAGAGACATGTGTTCTGGTACATGTATATCTATTTATGACGGTATGCGAGTCTATCATTACAACGATTGTTAGTGACGGTGTCCGAGTTTGGCGTTACAACGATTGTTAGTGACGGTATGCGAGTTTGGCGTTACAACGAATGTTAGTGACGGTGTGCGAGTTTGGCGTTACAACGATTGTTAGTGACGGTGTACGAGTTTGGCGTTACAACGAATTCTAATGGCGGTGTGCGAGTTTGGCGTTACAATGATTGTTAATGACAGTGTACGAGTTTGGCGTTACAACGAATTCTAATGGCGGTGTGCGAGTTCGGCGTTAGTGTGAATATCAACGACAGTGTGCGAGTTTTGTGTAACAACGAATGTTAATAATTACAGTGGACGAGTTTGGCGTCAAAACTGGTGACAATACAAGCATATTATTCTGTAGTATTCAATGGAATATTATAATATTCTTTTTACAGTACTACGTCTGAAGATTGTTATTAGTAGTGCTAATGTTGATTCCCTGCCTCGTCCTATCCAGACAACACACTATAAAAAATCGTAATATTATCAGAACTAAAACATTGGAATCTGGTTAATTTACTATCACTTAGTTACTATCAAGTTTGTTATTTTCTATATGTTCTATGATAACAGATACCTGGGAGGTACATTGAATAGAGGAAACACTAGCCCTGGTCATTGCCTCGTCAAAAATACATACTGCTTCAAGACTTTGGTCAAACCTCGAAAATTTGAACCATGCAAATAAAATGATAAATGTTAACCATAACAATAGGAAATGTATTATAAAGACACAAGTTAAAAATCATCCAAGATCATATATATCTTCAAAGTATTTTAAGATTTTTTTAACTCTTTTTTTCAGTATATATTACAAGTCTTGAAAACAGTATACGGATACTACAGGAACTTCGTCCAAATATTACCACAGACTTGGCTACGGCAGCCTTAATACAACAAGTAATGAAATATGTAGGATTACACAATTCATTGTTTGGTACATACGAAGGAAATCTAATGCCACGCCCATGTACATCAGTCTTATCACAAGTAAACACGACAATGGGGGACTTTTTAAGGATTCACGACCAAGAAGGGCCAAGAGGCTTGCTATTAAGCATGCTGACAATTCAAGGATATGGACAGATCGATGAAATATCCGCTCTTTATGGTATGATGTGGATAACCCCATACTTCCTTACCGAACTACTGAAGCCATTACCGACACAAGAAAGGAAAGTAAAAATATTAAGTAAAGGGTTCCAATTTCGTTGGGAAGAAATAGCCAGACAAAGCAAGCTCAATGTAAAATTATCGAGTCCTGTCAAGAGCGTATCGGTAGAGGATTTTACGTGACGTATAGAAACTGTGGTAAATTGTACGCAGCGAGGTTTGATTTTTTGATAACCACTCCCACAATGAAACTCATGACGGACGTGATTAAATTTAAACCTAAGGTACAGGACCTATTCGAGAGAACATTTAATCACTTTTATACGACGACTTTGGCCGACACCGACTTTGGCGTAAATAGGGGCCAAAACCCTCAGGATTATCACGATTACAATGTCCCTAAAGATGACGGTTCTGTTTGGGCTCACAGAGACTCGTACAGTTCACTGAATTTCATTATAGAAGATAATTATTCTGTACCAAATCCAGGAGGAAAACAAGTCCGAACGTCCGTCTACTATCAACTGACCAAACAAAAACCAAAACGGATAACACTTACCCGGAAATTAAAATCTCATGTTTTAAACACAGAAAAATCGGGCAATTTGAAAATAATGGAAAGAATTATTTGGAATTGTTTCCCGAGATATTCTCTGATATGGCAACAAGAATATTATGGGATATATTTGATATGCAAGGGAAAGGAAGTATGTGGTATATCGGATCGTCTGTGAGTTTCGAGTCTGTTATGAGTGTAGTTGAATACAATAACTTAATATTGAGCCAATTCTGTGGTACTAGAAAGAGATCACGTGACTGATATTTTTGAACTGGCAATCTCGTTAAGGAAACTAAATTATTCAAATCAAAAAAAGTTTAGATATCGGAAAAATGAAAGTCGGTTCTTCAATCCCTCCCATAGTGAAACACGACAGCATCCTGTTAGTAAGTATAAAGAGGGATAACAGAGACGGAGATGTTAGTGTCTTATTTTTACAAAAAAAGATATTGTTCAAGTAAACAACATCTTTTTGTGAACGAAAGATGACGACATTGTCGTAGCGGCCATTTTATCTTTTATCCTATCGGCGTTAGAAATTCTACTATATGACGTCATATGATATCTACTTACTGTTTAAATCTATTCTTTCAAACAGGGTTGTGGTAAATAAAATCATACTGAAAAAATATTTTTTCGGTGTCATATTTCATATAATGTAAATACTGGGTGTTTGATGTTAGAATGGACCGAGTGAAGACATTTAGTGAACCTACCAAAAATAAACATAAAAAACCGCAAAAATAAAGTATATTATTGTCCCATCTCAGGAGGAAACCTGCGCATCCAAACGGATTGTTGGCGTTACGTAATGACCATTTACACCTCGAAATGAAATCGACGCATTTCATTGGAAATTTATCGTCACGTTATATACCTACAATGTATTTCAAAACTGGATTCTCTGCCGTAGTTTTTTTCTGTTTTCCACTGGACTAGTCTTCGAAAGTACAATTTCAGCGAGCGCAGTTTTGCAGAGATATATCTAGGTCTCTTGTTAGATTATATTAGGGATCGAGGGAAGGCATACTTGACAGAGAGCTTTGAACAAAGGAAAGTAGTTTCCAACGATGAATCATTTCATAAGAAAATATCTTCCAGAGAAATGATTATTTTTAACTGAAAAACGGACATACAACTTCCTTGTAAGATGACTTTGTCTATCATAATTAAAAAAAAACAGAAGTGATTTCTAAATTATTGACTGAAAAACTATAGAGACCAGTTGCCGCTTTAAGTGTGTGTTGCTTGAGCCAACATCCTTTGAAAAAGTATGAATATATATATATGTAGCACTGTCGCAACATCCAAAAAGACAACTCCTGACACCTATTGTAACTTGTTGTCTGTGAAATCGGCAAAGAAACCTAGACAACTTTCGTAGGTGAAAATCATATGGCAATGGGATTTCTATTAAATCAACGTGTTTAATACTCGGCTCTATAGCCTCCATAGATGGACATTCAATATCACTAACATGTCCGCAACAACGATACCGTCAACTTTTTCCATATGTCTGATTCAGAACTGTTTAAACCTGCAGACCGATCCGAGGTAAGAGCTATCGTTCCGAGGCTACAAGCAGGGTGAGGCGACATGTTTAATTAAATTGACAAAAACTGGAGAAAAAAATCACTACACACCAACAAATGTTCACGTGTTACAATTAATTAAACTGATATGGAAATCGCGTTTTGAGAATCTTGGTGTTACATTTGATAAAGTTCAGCCAGAACACGCGTGCATGAACAAAGACAACATATCTGGACTAATTTCCCCAACATCACCAAGCTGTATTTATGAAAGATATTTCTGACCTATACAAACGTTTGGTTGATGAGACCACATATATGCCATTCCGGTGTCTCCAGTCACGAAGAACCTCATTGGTCGTCCATAGCAGGGACGTCCCTGTCCATAGTAACACCAACAAAAAGAATAATATTCACATAAATAGTAAAGGTCTATATGAGTGCTAGATCTTAATTATATGTTTATATGTCAAAATATCTCGAAAACCCGTTCAAAATCGTACTTCATTGTTTTCTAGATATTTGTGTCCAACTTCAGCATACGGGCGAAATGCAAAAAATTCTGAAGAACTTGAGACAGGTCAAACGTGAAGACTCTGTGTCGCCATATTAGCATCAGTTAGACTAAAAGTAGCTTACTTGATTCATCACATTTCCTATTTCCCGCGAAAATCGATATAGAACTCTTTTTCGTTGAAAATAGAAAAATTAACGAAAGCGCGGTAAGTCTAGTTTCGCTTTGTACGTTAAGTATCTTTTCTTCAAATGATGATTTCGTGGTTGAAAAATGACTTTCTATCTGAATCCGCCATCTGGAAATATTTCTTTACACAACTTAGAAAAATTTGCACGCACAAGACTGGATTTTCTTCTCAAAATTTATAGTTGTGGTGGAGATAAGTTAAAACTACAGGATACGGTAACCGATTTCCTTATTGTAAAGGAATCGGATTGTCTAATTGACGGTAGCACCAAGGACGTAGTGTCTCACTTCATCCTCAGGTAACATTCTCCAACATTTGACCTTCATTATTACCCGTGTTGAGGGAACTGTATCTAAAACAAATAAGATAATTCGTAGCTCGTTACACTATGTGTTGCATACTTGCCAAGTTATCTATCTTTTTCATTTTCACGGGGAGATTTTTTACGCTCTTAAAACTGAAAAAAATAACACAAAAATCAATGAAATGTTTGGATATATCATTTAGTAAAGTAATATAATTTGTAAATGACATTTTGTTGGTTGCTCATTCAATTGCACTCAGTAGATCTCGGAATATGATAATATTCAAGCAAATTCGCTTGTTGGAATTAGCAAAATATAGAGTTCAAAAACAGAAGTCTTCCGCATGAATAGAATGGGTTGGAAAGTATGCTTTTACATTTCTTGTTTGTAAAATTTTATTCGCAATGTTGTACAGATCACCATACTAGCCTTGGCTACTGGGGAATTTCCCTTAAGTTAAGTGGTAGAGTGTCTAGCTAGAGACTGGAGGGTGGCATTGTTGAACCTCAACAGTTGTTGTCTTAAAGGTTGAAGACTTAGTGAATGAATGAGAGTGTAGAAGTTGAGAATGTAGATCACCTTACTAGCCTTGGCTACTGAGTAATTTCCCTTTAGTTTAGTGGTAGAGTGTCTGGCTAGAGACCAAAGAGTCGTTAGTTTGAACTCAAATGGTGGCAGGGTGTTTTTCATTACTCCTTCTTATCACGATAGATTTAGAAAATCCAAGTTCCAGACCAGTCAATGAATGTCTGCTTATCAAAAATCAAAATTATTGCATTATTGATTCTTTTATTATACTTAGCCTTTACCTGGTTTAAAATAAAAGAGTTTGGTTGGTATTGATACATATGTTCTAAGGAGTGCTGGGTAAAAGTTATGTTGTTACCACTGTGCACCCAACCATCCAAGACTAATACATTCAGTTTATTGTATTCCATAAATTGCCTGAGTGGAAAAAGAGTCATTGAATTAGAATGACTAAATGACTTTAACAGAATATTTAAAATGATATAAAACATTGTAATTAATCCATTTTAATTTCTTTTATTTTCAAGGTTGATTCTGTGCCAGGACAAAGATACTAAAGAATTTTTAATGAAAGCTGAAAGTCAACTCTTCACATTTAGGTTTCAGTGCATGTCTGAAGATGAATTGACTAAATCACTAAAAAGAACGGACTCTCATCTCAAAAAAGCACAATACAATGAATTCATTCCATCCATTCATGAATTTGAAAAACTTCAGCACATCAGAGAAATTTTTAAGATGATAACTAGTACAGAACAAAGATGGAGATCGATTGTAAAAAAATATTTGTCTGGAGATAATAAAGAAGGATTTCAGATCCCGTTTTTCATTGTTCCTGGACTGGTAGCGAAGCGACGAGTAGAACTAGAAAATGGACTGGCCTTTGTACCATTCTGTAAACTGATGGATGTGATCTCCCATCTATGGTATCAACTGCTGGTTTGGGGAGTAGACAGAGCCTGTCGTGTCCAAACCAACTTTTTACAGGACAAAAGGATACGAATGTTAACAAGAAATGTACAGGTAGAATAACTTCAATAAATCACCAGATCTATCATGTAATAAGCTGAGAGAAATTCTTTTTAACTCGCAGTCAGGGGATGGGCTTATTACAAAACCATGAAATATCTTAAATATGGATGGGCTTATTACCAAGCATGGGTTAAATATTGTAGGTAATTTTAATGACATAATCCTTGACCCTAATTGAAAACAATATAGAAAATATCTACATGTTAATGGTATCTTAAGTCAAACACAAATTCATTAAAACAAAGAAGAAAAATGTTGATGTCATCAGAAGATAATTAATTTGAACCGATGTGTAATTTGTGTAGATATATATACATTGTAACAAAGGTAATTCATTGAACTTTAATATCTACACTACAATCATCCTCAAAATTTTATTAGAGCAGTTTGAGAACCACTCCTCGGCCCTCATCGTCATTTATACGTTCTGAAATTTAGTTAAGTTTTGTCAATAATGTAATAAATGTTTTTTTATCCACAGGCCATGTTCAGGAAACGTCATGGTACATTTGAAGGTGGTCCTCTAAAGGAAGCATACCTGTCACATGATCATGTATCAGAGGTCATGACCTTCTACCCTCCATGTATGTTACATGTCCATCACCTCCTAACAACAAGACACAGACTTCAACACCATGCCCGAGTAGGTATTGTCCAGTCCATATCATAATGCATATCTGTCAAAACCAGTCATTTTTATACTAGAGCCTCCACTTTATTTTGGTATGACAATTTCTGATGTAAAATTTTGGTCCGAAACTGGAGGTCATTGAAAGTAAAATCTAATCTTTTCGCTGAATTACTATATTTTGTTCTTAAACCACACTGATTACAATGCATAACATAGGGATGTATTTTGTTCTTAAACCACACTGAATACAGTACATATCGTAGTACTGAAATTTTTTAACAAACATGATGAGTTGAAGTAACATAACCAATCTCTCAAGTTTGTGACATTCAAACTTGAGATCTCCAGTTATTAGTTTTGACACCTCCACAAGCATGATGTGAAATAATTGTGCACCTTTGAAGAAAGGATATGAAAAAAAGGGTATGGTTTCTGAAATGGATGACTATATCTGGAATATTTTAAAGTTAAATTATTTTTTATAAAGGTCATGTATGAGAATACATCAGCTATGTGTTTCTGGATGGCAATGTAAAGTTTTGTAAATTTTTGCTAGTGAACCAACTACTTCATTTTTCTGAGATATTATTAAACAGACAGTAGTTTTCTCAGTCACTTTGAATTTTTCTGATTTTTGTATAATTTATTTCATTCTCAGAAAAGTAAAAAGTAAAACCTCACTAAGTATCAAGTTTACATCATCTTTTGTTTTTATATGATTTCTTAAACACATCTTCTTTTATCACAGATACAATACACTCTCTTCCTGAAAGAAATCGGAATGCCAGTTCATGAAGCCTTGATGTTTTGGAGGAAAGAATACTCCAATCCTGTAGAATCTGTCAATGGCTGTTTGCATGGTTGGCAGCAAGATAGTAGACGGTACACATACAACATCCGTCATCTGTATGGATTGGAAGGGGCCTGTATCAACTACAGAGGCCACTGTTGTAAAACATTACAGGTATGTCAGTGTTACAGAACTACGAAATATATTGGTGATACAAATATCAATATATTGCTTCATAGATGGTTATTTTTGTGGTCAAAGTTCCCAAATTTTCATTTGTGTATACCTGCATTTCTGTGTCCATACAGCAGGTTAGAAAGTGTCCTGGGTAAGATTCAACATAATAATTCATAGGCAGTTATTTTTCATGGTTAACTTATTCATTAAATTTTAACAAATTAAACACCAGTACAATCTGCAATATTGATAATTATTTATGCTTTTGAATGCATGTAATCTTTATCGGGACAAATAATGTGTATCACATACCATTTAATTTATTATAAAAAAAATATAGTTACTGTTTTTATCACTGATTCTGTTAACCCTTGTCTTCCTTTTTCATGGATCAAATTTCATGACCACGTCACTGTCCCACAAAATAGCAAAGATATCATCCCTTCATAAATAACTGGTCACTGGGTGTATCAATTTTTGTTCAGCAAAAGGTGGGAGACACAGAAACATGGTATATTTGTCCAACTACATCTGAGTGTTCATGAATGTGTCTTTTCATACAGCTAGTTAGAAAGAATTCTAGATAATTAGTGATATGGATACTTACTTAGTACATCAATCTAAGTTTGCCTACTGATTGCATTTATACTTTACTGAACCTTTGCATTGCATAAAACAAATTGATAGTGCAAAAGGATTAACAGAAACAGTCCAATTATATCATAAGTAGATTGAGAGAATTCTCATTTTCAACCTTCAGTGTGTGTTTCCGCTCATGATAAGATCAGGTTTACCGTTACCACAGGAGATTAAAACAAGTTTCTGGATATATCTATCATAGATTGTTACTTACATTATGATTTACTTGAAGGTGAACCTAAGCAATACACAAACATTATACCATTTACTACAAGGGTCAAGATAACCTTTAGCTATCTTGCTTCGTCCATTGTCGTGCGACATTCGCCATGCATTGTGCGTAAACTTTTTCTTTAAAGTCCTACTCCTCTTTCATACCTGGATGGATTGCAACCAAATTTGGTCTGATGCATCATTTGGGGAGGTTAATAATTTCCTATATTCAGAATTTTTATTTGACCCCTAGGGGTAGAGAGACAGGGCTCCAAAGGAGGAGGTGCTATAATTAGACTTAAATTCCTACTCCTCCTTTCTGCCTGGGTGGATTTCAACAAGCTTTGGCCTGATTGAACAGTTAGGGTTGGCAATTATTTTTCTAAATTCAGACATTTGATTCGACCCCTAAGTACATTAGGACAGGGCACCAAAAAGAAAAATGGACAACATTTTTCTTCTAAATGTTTCTCCTTTGTAATGCTTGAATGGATTTCAACCAAATTTGGTCTGGAACATCACTGAGAGTAGAGAATCATTTGTGAAATTCAGAAAGATGTTTCGACCACTAGATAATAGGAATTACCTCGATCCGCTTGAAAGGTAACATAGAGCAAATATGTTAAAATCTTTAAATTACTTCATCTCAATATCCAAAAGGTCAAGGATGATAATATTAGGCCTGTAGCATGCTAGTATGAAGGGCTGCCAACTTTGATAATATGAATGACATTTACCCACTTTCAAAGTCACTGGTGTCGAATGTGTTAAAATATTTAAATGACTTCTCAAAGCATAGCCAATTCGCTACAGTACATTGTTACTATCTGGTGTATTTTTTTGTCTATAATCTGTTTACCATCTTGTCAAACTATTGTCGACCTTATACATAGGATTATAGAGCAGCCAAAAAAGTTTGTCCTTTCTGTACCATCTCGTACATCATGTACGTCAGTGTTAGTACGCTCCACACTTGTCATTTGTCTGAAGAAGATGACCATGTAGTATCAAAACGTCACACTCTAATCTTCTACTGGTTGTGTTATAAGATGAAGGTGCCTGTGTAGTCATCAAAACGTCACACTCTAATCTTCTATTGGTTGTGTTGTAAGAACTTCTATTTTATTGACATTACCAACCTGAAGAAAATGTTCCAAAACACAAGTTCTCTGTAGCTGAGCAATATATTGCAGCTTGTATATACCAGGGCTACATACTCCCTCTCCAGGAAAGAACTCGTCCTAGAGTTTCCAGAGGTTCCTGTGATGTCGGTGAGACAATGCTAAGTATTATTCCTGAGCCTCACGTTGGGCACCAATGTAACAGAGGTCATTATTTATTTCAATGCCTCCATTAGGATTCGAACCCAGAACCCCTGGATTTCTAGTCTGACATGCATCTGATCTAGCTAAAGGGAAGTTCCCATTAACTGAGCGGTATATTGTGGCTAGTATTTATCAGGGTTACAAAAGTTTTTTAACCAAATGATGCACTGTTTTTTATAAAATTGTAATGTTTTACAGAATTCTACCTCCGGTGTTGGGGATCAAGGTGGATGCCCTTTCAAGTGTTTTGACACAGATCACTTACATAATCTGCTCCAAAGGGAAGAAATTCATCATTCAAGGGAGACAATTCTAAAACTTTCGTCAGAAGGAAAATACTCTGAAGCCTGCAGGTGTCTGTTTGTTGAAAAAACTAAGAGGCTTGCTCAGAAATGTGAAGTCCAGGACAGGGAACAACCAACTGCAACTCTATCAGGCTTTAGGGAAGATGATGTGATAATGGACAAAGGTCATAAGGTCACAGACAATACTACTTCATCACAGACTTTTGACCATGGAGCTTCAGACATTCATATTATCAAAGATGATCCAGAAGAGTCTATTGTATATTCCTACACAAATGTTAAGGAAATGACTCATAGACACTTTCACTCTGATACAAACTGTAACTCATGTTCTGACACAGTATATACAGGTACCGACTCGTACAAGACAAAAACAGTGTCAGATGCTGGTGTGGTAAAAGTTGACAGCTTACCTGTCTGTACAAAGTCAGGAAAGAGCTGCTCCACTTTACAAAAAAATGGGGACGGGATTGAGGATAGGCCAAATCAGGACAATGATATACAGAAACCTTCTCAGTATTACTTTAGCCTAAGAAGATTAGTGGAAGGTTTAAAAGAATTTGAAAACAAAAGTATACCCAAGAAATAATTCAAATTAAATTATGGATTGTCTGATATTTTCCTCACACAATTAAAGATAATTTGGGAGAAATTGCATTTCAACATTTTGATCAAACATTCTTCACTGAAGTTTAAATTAATATTTCCACTCCACAGAGATATTTTGAATAATTTATTTGTTACCAGAGTAAAAATCTAAAAGAAAAAAAATCATATTTGTTGAAATGTTCTTTCCTCTATTTGATGTACAGCTCCATGTCATGAGACAGTGATTTGTTACGCATGTTATGATAATGAAATAACAATGGATGTTTTAGCAATTATAGCAACATATCAATAAGCAACTGGTTTACAACATTTCAGATAGAGACAAGGTCTCAATCATGTATCCATGCATTTTAATTTCTATATAATTTTTACAAGATTAATATATTTAAGCAATGAAATTAAGACGGAAAAAAACTTTGTTAAATAAATTCTTTGTAGAATGCAATCCTATTAACAGGAAATAAACTAGCTTTGTCCGATGTTTGTCTTTCCTTCTAATTTCTATTTGTTACATGTCTGAAGCTTTTATTTTATGCTAGTACCACAGAGACTGTAATGATTATATTACATATATGTGGTCAGTGGGTCGGAAATTCATGTTCCTGTGGCCAGTACTAGTATAATATATTACTTCTGTGAAATGTAGGTAGGAGGATGTATCATGACCCAGAGGTACATACCCTCTAATGGTAAATGAAATTAAAGCAAAAACAATCAGTTTAATAGATATTTATATCAAGTACAGTTAAATGTAGACTTGAATGTACACTTTGTACAATAGTTGTAAACAAGATTAAGGTTTAAACTACAGGTAAACTACTTCTGCACTAAACCTGTTAAAAATAACGAAACTGTCTCCCCTAATCTAGGTAATAGGCAATTGTGACTTTTATATGCTGACTGTCTGTACCTGTACAGTTTTCTTCAGTTATGTGAATGACCTTGTTTTTGTTTGTATATAAATTCTTATGAATTAAAAATCAGTTAAATAGCTACAAACTCGCAAAGATTATTGATATCTGGAAAACAAAGGAATGAAAGATTAGTGATGACAGAAAGGCCTCCTGTTTTGAGGAGTGAATATGTACTTATATTTTACGAAGTTTACATTGCTAAGGAAATGAATTATTTGAACAATTGATTTCTTCTGGTAATCGTCAGACATGTAAACAAAAATAGCTGTTAAATAATGATAAGAAAGCATTTTATATATTGAAATAATTTAATTTAAGACGTAAAATTACATATTTATGGTCAACAGTTTAATATTTAGAAGTAGGTATGTAATTATAATTATAAATTTAGATAAACTAGATAGAAGTGCTATACATTAGGGATATAATGTATAGACAGTGTTAAAGCTACTGCTGTAGATCTCTATATCAAATTATTTTATAAGCTTGGGGCTCTGTTACAGCATAATTGGTAATGACCTTTTACAGTCACTAAAAGTAGATTCACTACACATGCTTACTATAGTCAGAAACTTAAATAACGGTAACATAGACATCTGCGATCATAGATTTAAAATATTCATCTAGTTCATCCTTCATATTAGCAGTTGCTAATATGACCGAAAATATGTCTATCCCTAGTATTTGTTGGCAAACAATTTGAAATGGTACATCTCAATAGGTTTAAACGATGTGCTATAACTAACTCTAAAATACATTCGGTAGAACAGACTATAACTCTAAATTACATTTGGTAGAACAGACTATAACTCTAAAATACATTTGGTAGAACAGACTATAACTCTAAATTACATTAGGTAGAACAGACTATAACTCTAAATTACATTAGGTAGAACAGACTATAACTCTAAATTACATTAGGTAAAACAGACTATAACTCTAAATTACATTAGGTAGAACAGACTATAACTCTAAATTACATTCGGTAGAACAGACTATAACTCTAAATTACATTTGGTAGAACAGACTATAACTCTAAAATACATTTGGTAGAACAGACTTAAACTCTGAAATACATTAGGTAGAACAGACTTAAACTCTGAAATACATTAGGTAGGACAGACTATAACTCTAAATTACATTAGGTAGAACAGACTATAACTCTAAATTACATTAGGTAGAACAGACTATAATCAGTAAAACAAAATATATCTCTCCATACTTATAAGATGAATCAATTTCCTTTATTATGCAATAATGTGGATTTTACTTTCCACACAAGCTTGACAAGGATACACATAACAAAACAAGATATACAATGTAAAATGATTTGAAACTTCAGAATGAGGCCTTCAACAGATCTTCCCTTTTTAATGGCTAGATTGAACATTTCTCAAAGGTGTTATAACGGGAGATATAACCGGTGTTATATCAGGTTTTATAACAGGAATTATCGCATGAGTTATAACAGGTGTTATAACAGGAATTATCGCAGGTGTTGTAACAGCAGATATCACAGGTGTTATAACAGGTGTTACCACAGGTGTTATAACAGGGGTTATCACAGTTGCAGGCTAAATCACAGAATACTTAAACAACAAATGATAAAACACTTCTAACAATGTGTTAGAGATAGTGATATGTACACCCAATACTTCTTATTAATCACAGAATTAAACTTATTAACATCAATTATAAATCACATAATTTAATTTTGTATGTTCGTAAGTTTCATAATGAAATAAAAAAAGCTAATAAAATATCAAACATCAATTACAAGGATAAAATATTTTTATACAAATGGATTTGGTTGTATATGAATAGGTTTCTTTAGGTGTTAAACCACAGGCTTATTTTTGAGGTCCACTGATTACTGTGTTTTAGGGTATAAAAATATATGAAATATATATACAACTGTACATGTCATATCACAGTGAATAATACAAAATATTGAAATAAATATCAGTGCAATATTAAAAGGAGATGTAGACAGCACTTGCCATTAAATTTAGTACATAAATTGCACTGAATTTTTACTACATGGATATCACATGTCACAAATATCATACACATTACGTTCATTTCAAGAAAATGTAACAAATGTCATGCATTGCATGAAAATTTACAAGCTAATCGTATCCAAATGGATACACCAAATATTCATTGTAAGTCCTAAATTAAAGCCAAGTACACAGGGCTCCATAAGGAGTTGATGGCCAATGATTCTGTGACAAGGTAAAAAAAGGTAGGAATACAAGAACTATCAAACACATGTAATTGCATATAAACATGTATGTGTGCACACAATGAAATACTCTATTAAAATAAGTACATACACTTCATTATTTAGAAATATTCCTCCCTATTGCTGTAGCAACACATCAATTGAATACTGTTTACATAACAATACTTACTAACAGGATAGTGACCAGTACATGTGTTTGTCGTGCAAGGAGTAGTCGCCTTATTATGGTGGCCGATTCCTGCCATTTTGTTGACCCAACAAAATGATTATCTTCATCTATACACCTAGCTAATTGTCATTATTTCGCATTGATATAATGATAGTCACTGTCTTTGAGCCATGACATAATGACAGTTATCGCTGCCAAATGACAAGAGTTTGTCATTCTGTTGAGCGACAAAATGATACCAACCACCATAGCCTCTCAGTAAATGGGTTACGATACTGCTATGTCAGAATTTACAATCTACTCAGCCTCTTCAGAAATGTTACACAATACTGCTGTATTAGAATTTACATTGTACACAGCCTCTTAGGAAACGTGTTACCACCCTACCAAGTTCGAATTTACATGGCCTCTTGGTAAGTGTACATGATATTAATCAGTTGGGAAGTGTGTTATAATACTGCTAAGTTAGAATTAACATTTTAAGGCATTGTTGAAGATGAATTCCATGATTTCCTCCGCTCATTTGACACCCACAAAATATAATCACATTAAACAGCTTCTCACAACGTGCTTGCTCAATCTGTTCAATTAACAAGACGATAAAATATTCAGAATGAATGCCAAGTCATAATATACCAGTTACCAATGTCATTTTTGGGGTTAGACTGTACATATTACTAATATACATTTATGCTTGCATAATTAGAAGGTATTTTCTAAAATCTGATTCTGTCCGTCATCTAAAGCCCTCTGTAAAGATGACTTTTTCTCAAGGTAAATGAAAAGACATATCTTAGACAGATGTTTTACTGTTGTTGTCAAGACAACTGTATTGTTGTTGCCGGAAGTAGTTTAATGCTGGTTTCGACCTCAAGTCCTGAGCGTCTGGTAAACGCAGCATCAGTAACTCAGCATCTATAAATAGATATAAGCAAAACTTGTTTAGACCATGTTTGGCATTACTGTAACCAGCATACCACATTCTTATTCATTAAATGTACTTGGCGTTCTTTTGCCACAAATATTGAAAAACATGAAATTTATTGAATTATGGGTTTAATGCACCTCTTTTTTTTTTCTTATCTGCTTGGACAAAATTGAATTTTCCTCTGACACCTGCAAAGCTTCCAAATTTAGGCCCTTGTCATCAGTGACAAATCCTATAAGGACGAAACAGTGGTATGATGCAGTTTATTGTTTGGCTTTACTATTTCTAGTTATAAAATTGTATTGAAAGGTGCTAGTCACTTGCATGTTTTTTGTGCAGTCCTTACATATTGTAAAATTTTAGCTCTTTGATTTTATCAGCAGATGATTTTATCAACCTGGGAATATATCTACCGAGGACGAAAGAAAAGTTTTTTCTTGGTAGAATCGTCTAATTCAGAATCTTTATAACTCTTCCTTATTATGTGGCATAGAATTAACATTTGTTAAAAAATTATCTATATATCAACTTTTCAAATGATATAGCTGATATGATGTAAAGAAATCGATAAAATTTACCCGGAAGATTTTTCATGAAAAATAAAAAAAGACATTTATTCATTGTACATTAAATCTCTGTGCCAGTAAATCCATTATTCAGACTGCAAAACCTTTGAGCAGAAAATACTCACTGTAACATTTTTTCATTACATTGTCTTTGATATCAGTTAGTATCAGAAAATGCTATGTCAGTGCATGTGAGATCAGTTATCATTTGGGGACGAGTGACATCAGGTGACGTTGGAGTGGATTGTGTCGTTGGTGACGTCAAAGGAGAAAGGGTCTGTGTTGACGGCTTTTGTGACGTAGACATTGACGTCATGTGTGTTGAAGTCTCTGGCGTTAATGCTGAGGATGGGAGTGCTGGAGTGATTGATGGAAGATTTCCTGGCAGGGCAGGCAGGGACGAGACGTTACCTGACAGTGGAGGTAATGATGTCTTCTTTGGTAACTTGCCAAAAAATACATTGTGTGTCGCTGTAGGGGCTGAAATTAAATATATCTAATCACAATAAACTTTAAATTAAAATGAGCCGAGCTCTAAAATATTTGTTTTTGATTTAACAGCAATTTAGGGTACATTCAAAAAGACAAATACAGACCCGACTTCAGTATGTTACCTTTTGGTGTTGGTAATTTCTGCGCCAAGTTATCTGTAGTGTCAACTTGTTTATTTCGTTTCCGGTCCTGGATCTTCTTACACAGAATGGCAACTGTGGCTAACAAGGCGAATAGGAACAGAGCGCCAATTGCGGCCCCGACAATGGAGCCAAGAGCGACACTTGTGTCACTTCCAGAAGTTGAGCTTCCCGCTGATTGAACTAAAGGCAAACAAAATCATAAAATTACCAATTATACCGTCTATTAACTTATTTTGTAAATCAATTGGATACCAATATTGATAATGTTACACACGTATTTGTTTATCGTTACTTATTATTCAAAAAGAATTACTTATTGTCCATTAAGAATTACTTATTATCAATAAAGAATTACTTATTATCCATAAAGAATTACTTATTGTCCATTAAGAACTACTTATTATCCATAAAGAATTACTTATAATCAATAAAGAATTACTTATTATCCATAAAGAATTACTTATTGTCCATTAAGAATTACTTATTATTCAAAAAGAATTACTTATTATCCATAAAGAATTACTTATTATCCATAAAGAATTACTTATTGTCCATTAAGAACTACTTATTATCCATAAAGAATTACTTATAATCAATAAAGAATTACTTATTATCCATAAAGAATTACTTATTGTCCATTAAGAATTACTTATTATTCAAAAAGAATTACTTATAATCAATAAAGAATTACTTATTATCCATAAAGAATTACTTATTATCCATAAAGAATTACTTATTATCCATAAAGAATTACTTATTATCCATAAAGAACTGATAATATGTGCAGGAATAATAGGGAGGCTAAGAACAAATGTACAAGACATTTTATAATTAGTAGCCGTATATTAGACCGTGAACGACATAGCTGACATGTTTTCATATCTAACTATGTCTTGGCAAATCTTCTTTTATTTGACAAGGGAACAAGATGTCAGAATCTCGCTTTACAAGAAAACAGGACAACAGAATCTTCCCCTTCACAGGAGAACAGGATGTCAGAATCCTTCTTTACAAGAGAACAAATTTAATGGGATTTATCAACATGAAGTATATTAAATTTAGATTCCTGTCTTAACAAGATCCGCCAAGGTAGATGAGATTAAGTCAGATAATGAAAACATGTTTGATTGAGCTCACTCCAGCATGTTAAATAAAGTTAGTACATTTTTAACTGGTAGAAATCCATTAGGAGGATGACACTGGGTGTAGAATGGACTATTTCCATCTTAATTTTCTGTTACTGGATTTCAAACCTAGCATGCAAGAGCTTTTGTCGACGGACGGAATGCATCATGTATTCTTTGTGTATGCATGGTAAGCAAAATGAAATACCATCATAAATTTTAATTTCTTTTATAGAATTGCACTGAGCTTGCGAACAAAATTGAAATTTTACTATGAATAAAAGAGCAATAGTTTTCAAGACGATAGTCAAAGCTGAGAAATCTTGACAATATCTTATTTCTTCTATTCTGTCTAACGTTACACATACTTACGGCATGTAACTGTTGGTGTGCACATGAAAGGAAAACACAAGAATATATGTAACAATTTCAAATGACATTCATCATATTCATCAAGATAATTTGGATTCCAAAGAGTATTTCTCTTGCAACTAAACAATTAAGTGTGAAATATTGTCTATGGAGTTTGTGTAGACTTGTACAAGATTTCTTAACATATGGTTTAAAACTTTGCACAATAAACTGACCTTCAGCTGTAAGCGTAGCTGTAGCTCCACCTGAAGGAACCGACGTCGCAATTTGATTTCGATCACAGCTGCCATGCTGAACACTAGTCTGGACGTCAGATCCCTGCGACGTCACAGCCTGTTATGATAATGATTAATAAATAAAAAAAAAAAGAACCAAAAATATATATGTTTGATGGTAGTAATGAAAAATGAAACAAACTTTCAAACTGTGTCATAATGTAGCGAAATATAGGCATAACACCATATTACTATTTTTTTCAAATACCATGTCAGAACATTTACACATATTGAATCAAGGTTCAATTAGTTATGAAGTTATACATGATATCACAACTATTGATATACACGTACACAGTCACAACAAACATACGGGGATATATGTTTTTGTAGCATATCTGAATGCTTGTAAACAAATTGTACTGAGATATTATACAGAAGATACATGACAGAATAACACCTTTAAATACAAATTTAGAATTTTATGAGTGGAGACAAACCATGAATTAAACTGCATAATAAGGCTGTTTCGTCCTTCTAGGACTCTTCCATGATGCTGAGGTGCTATATTTTGAAACCAATGAGGCAACTGTGGAAATCAAAAGTTTGCAAGATGACACTGCCCCATAATGGTTTTGTTATAAATTGTACTTACGAAACATGAGAATCGAAAGAAGTTAGTGTTGTCTATAGTGCCAAGGTTGATAGTAGATTGGTAGTATACATCATTGAATGTTAATGTATTAACACAGTACACCTGTCCTTCCTCTGTCAACAAAAAGCAGAGTAAAAACAATCATATTTTGGCAACCTGCTGTTACTATTGTGCATGAAAACATGTTGACCCTATAACTTTCGGTCAATCACGCCAAACTGTTTCTTTATTGGTTTATCACACGGCATATCTATAGCATATTTAATCAGCGCCTCCTACAAATGGTGGTTTGTTTCTCAGAAAGATGAAAAACAGAGTGGCCTGTGCTGACGTTACTGTGTGTTCGGCTAAGACACTTTACCCTAATTGTTCTCCGTGGAAGGCGGTGGGCCTCCTGTATGTTGTCTAGTGAGGAAACAAGCGGCTACTACAATATTAGACCCCAACTCAAAACGATCCTGGCTATACAAATTTCAACCAATCTCCCAAACAAGCAAATAGATTGAGTGGTTGGGTGGCGCAGTGGTAACACACTCGCCTTTCACCTAGCCGTACAGGGTTCTATTCCTGGAACTGACGTCAGAGGTAAGGGTTAACTGCCCGACCACATGGGTTTTCCCTGGAGACTCCGGTTTCCTCCCACGATAAGACCCCTTGCGCGCTTACATTCGGGCCAACAAGAGTGATTAGTATAAGTTGAAATAACTTGTTTCGCAATTGTTGTCAAATAAATAAAGCAAATATCTCCTACTTGATGTTGTGGCTAAGATCCAGTAGTTTATACCGACATGAAAAATATTTATTATGGTAAGAGTTTAAAACAAAGATATAATTTAAGTGAACTGAAATACTACAAATATTTACAATTAAAATCAACTATTTGATGCATTAATTTACAGATCCGTTCTGTACCTACGTGTAAAGGCCACTTTGGTGGAACATTTGCTGTAGTTAAATGTCATGATAGATGTGTCCGAGCAGACATCCCATTCACTTCCGGTTCCACAGGAGGTGCTACTCCCATCACTATACTGATAGGTAAAAGTACCGAGAAATGGTGAAGCACATGTTTGCTTTGAACTGGTTTCATATCCTGTTTGACAGAAAATATTCCAATGTAAGGAAACAATATAAAAATGATGTGTAGAATTCCATCTTAGCCAACAAGATCAATCGAAGAAGTATTTATTGGATTATGGTACATATTGCAGCTGAAATTTGTCAAAGGTGGTGTCTTAATGTAAATAGAGAAAACCATTAAAATATTCAATATTGTAAAATCTTTTATATTCACAGGAGTTCATTTTCATTGAGTTTGTGGGTACTGTAAATCCTTGAATTTATATGTCCACTAAATGATAAACAGATAAAAGTCAATATGGATTATGTTACTGGTGGATTTTGTTAGAAAGGTCCATCCACTAAATCAAGTCCTACTGAAATTTTTTTTTTCAAATTATGAAATTCAAGTTCCTTGAAAATTTGTGATTTTTTTATTATGCCGAGAGTGATACTCCAAAATGAGTTGATATAAAGGGAGACAAAGGCAATTAAAACTGAAAATATATTGATATCAATGCATTTAGCGAAACTACCTTGTTTCACAAGCATGTGGAACTCTTCGGTGTTGGGAGGAGAGGATGCCACACAGTAGGTTGTGACATCACCTTGTGCGGTAGCTGAATCCTCCAAAAATACTCGGAAAGCGTTTGCGTTTGAGTTTGTATCTGCAAAATGTATAAGGAGTTACATGAGAAAATGAATGAAATAACAAATTTGGTGGTTGTTGTTTGTATACATTCTGAGAAGCTGATTGAGTATTTTTGACATTGGTTGTAGATGCTAACACTGACTGTAAAGAAACTACAATACCCCACCTCCAATCCTTCCCTACCATAATTCAATAAAATTAAGTACAATATATATGTATTTACAAAAATAGGACTTCATTTACATTATTGAATACACATGTCAATGGATTGTATGTAGTTCTATTTGTATTTAATAGGCTATTCATTTATGTGTTTTTTGTACAATACTAGTGATAATCGGAGTAGACGCTAATCAATTGTAGTACTGCAGGGACTGGAAACTTTATCTATTATTATTACATGTACAATATAGAGAAGTGTGTTTGTCAATCTCGACTGATTGTCCTACAGATGTTTATGATGTATTTATACCACTCTTAATGATATTTAAAAAGCAGATCAGAATAAAATTTATATGGTTGACCCATTTAACAGATCTGTTCCAATAAAAATGATTTTGATATGAACACAAAACAATGTGGATATAGTTATGATATTAATTTACACTTTTTAGCATTAGAAAACCATATTCATACAATTCATATGTTTGTGAGGCTAATGTGAGCACCAACCTAAATAACACAAAATAGTTGAACCAAAAATCACTGGTACAGATTTTGATGTTTCTGTTGATAACTGTCGACTTCTACTGTTGACTCTAAGGGTTTCAAAATATAGACCCTTAGCATCACTTATGAGCCCTTGAAGGACGAATCAGCTGTATATTGCAGCTAACCTCATTATTTGACTCTGATGTATCTATTCTGAATTTGTATAGAAGATTTGCTATCCAATTGTATGGTACAAGTTTCCATGGCATCATATTATTAAACTTTGCTGGTAAACTTACCATGAACATTTGTTTCGATACAACTTATTGTTTACATTAAGGTATAAATATAACAAGACTGAATTACCTGTATGTAGATAGTAGTAGTAGGAATAGTCTGTCAGTTTAGTCCACTTCATACACAGGTAGGCACTGTAGGTGTTACCAGAAACTGTCACATTGACGTCACTTCTGAAAAGTCGTAACAATAATATCATAAGTAACAACTACGGAATCTATCTTCTTATGCAGTATCACATCAAAACCTGACCATTGAAAACAAAAGTTTTTTTTCATTTTGCAATAGTTTGATTACATTTAAATATATCTATAAATATTGCACCCCGAGAGGACTCAAGACGACATTCTTGATGTAGAAAATACTGATGCCAACAGAATCTTAATTCAACTCAAATTGATGAAACTTGGACAATTATGAAGAAAAGAAATATTTATATGGAGATTTTGAATAAGACCAAGAGCTACGTTTTTCATTTCAGTATGAATTTCACAATTACAAATATGAAAATGATTAAAACAGAAAATATACAAACTTGAAAATGAAGATATTCTGTGTGGTGTCTTCGATGACACATGACCATGATGTGATAGTTGCCGACGTCAAAGCAACTGACCAACCAGATATTTGAGAACTTGTGAACGTGAATGTGACGTCATTGTCATGTTGACTGTCCCACCATTTATTATCCCAGGCTAACGGGAATATACATGACCCTGTTGATACAAGAATCCTTCAAATGCCAAATCTGATCGACAACAAACAGCTTGTCATAATGAAGCCAATTTTACGTAAAATATTGGAAACTTGAGAGAAACAAAGAATTTCATATTTATCTGTTGGAAGTTGAGTTATTTCACAGAAATCAATCTTGAGAACAAAATTCTGGTCAGGAAAGAAATCTGTATAATTTGAAATTTATCCTCTGTGTTGAGCACGAAAGTGAACACTATCACTCTAAATACAATATACACTAAACACAGGTAATGGGAAAACATTATGAAACTGAATTTTGATAAAAAATCATCTGACTACAAAAAAAAAGTTTCAGCAGGGAGAAGGGTTGTTTTTGTTACTCTGAATGAAATCTTACTAAGAAGATGTTTTCCGTGATGCAGATGGTAGTTTTGGTGAGAAGTAGGTAACTGTAACAAGTGTTACCTATTTCTTGACAGTAAAGTTGGAGCTCAAACCAACTGGTGAAGCTTGAGAAGTTTGAAATAAATGTTGCACAGGAAAACTATGATTGCACAGTCATGTTACAAAATGGCTTCCCTGGCTGCTGTGTCAAAGTTTTGACAACACTTTATTGGCTACCTTTTGTTAACATTCCCACCAATTTTTAGCTCAATGGCACCAGTGGAACTGGAGAAGAAGTTTAAAATATGTTTTTCAAGATGGATGCCATGGCTCATTTCCTGCAAGTTTGAGCCCAATCCCACTGGTGGAACTTGAGAAGAAGTTTAAGATGTCAAAAGTTTATGCATGGTGGACGGGTCAGATGACCGAAGAACAGATAATGATTTGTCTACTGAGGGGAGACAACTAGGCTTATCTTCTCCAATTTACTGTAGCTTACTTACGTTTATTCTCACAGTTAGTGCCAAAATAACCGATTACACAAGTACAACTGTAAGACCCAGATGATGGATTACTGCAAGATGCGCCATTTTGACATGGAGCACTGATCTGACATGGGTCTGTAGAGCAAGACAAATAAAGCTGAATAGTTTTAAATAGATTTTATTTCATATTGGTCTGTATATCTCTTGTGATAAAACATAATTAAATGAATATTTCCCATGTTCTAAATTTTCAAAATGGTAATTTGTTGACAATCATGAAACTTAATTTTTTAAAAGGATTTCAAGTAAAATTTCAAGAAATGATGAATGAACATAACATAGAATTAGCAATCTACAATTAAACAAATAAAAATCAGGTACCGTGAACTTGTTTCCAAAGGAAATACAATGTTATAACCACAAAAGTCATCTATGATTTTGTGCCCGATAGTGATTAACAAGTACCTGAGCAAATTTGAATTATAACTTTTAGGTAAGAACATATCAATTAGCTATACATACTGGCGTAGGTGCAGTTATCACTGCTATAGCCAGTAGCACACGTGCATTGGTACGAAGAGCCAACTGCCTGACAACTGCCACCATTCTCACAAGGATTTGTGAGAACACAGGGTACTTTAAGAAAAAAAGGCAGATTTAATGAGATTTATTTGTTTATCATATGAAAGGTCACACTTTTTCTCTGTATTCGAATCATCACAAACTAATTCACGTGTCTCCATCGTTGTTCATATTATTTTGTATTTATGGATATTTACATGCATTTAAATAAACACAATACAAAAGGTGGAGTATTACCTTCTGTTTCGCATGAAGTTCCACTGTATCCGGTAGAGCATGAGCATGAATAATTTCCGGACGATGGGTTAGAACATGTGGCACTGTTCAGACAGGGACTTGACAGTAAACAAGGATCTGGACAAATAAAAGCGTCATTCATTTGGTAACTTCTAATTGTCAACAAACTCCGATTGGAAGAATAATTAAATAAATTGAAACTCGTTTTCTCGAAATCGCTTGCGTCGAAATTATGTTAATTCTGTTTGCGTCGAAATAAAATCGTAATCAAAAAACATTTTCCATTTCCCGATTGTTTTCCTTCTATATCCTTGTAATTTTAGTTCAGATGAATCGAATTTCACTCTGAATCGGATTTTTGGTTGAGTTGAAGTGATTTTTCAGTCATTTCAATTGTAAAGCAATGGGAAGGTCACTCGTTGTCTAGGAATTCATTTTTGTGGAAACATCAGCACGTCTTCTGACGAAATCGGTCAATACATACACAATGAAGGAAGTCACCTGTGCGCCACACACGTCGTACACACTTGGTCTCTGGTGATTGATTACCAATTTAATTTTCCAATTAAAGTTTGGCTTCTTCGTGTGTCACATTTCTGTACCAGTGACTTACATGTACTAATTTTAAGCTTGTTTACTAAATGACTGTGATTGGGAACTTTATTAGATTTAGTATTTGGACAATGAAGTGCTGAAAGTATTTTTCATTGACAGAGTATATATCGGTGCGTGATTTGTTAAGACTAGCACTTGCACAATGTTTCCTTTAACAGGTAAAAACTCTCCAGCGCCGCGTTTTCCATATGTTTATTGATTTGTAATAAAGTCATATTGATATTATCAATAGCTTTATACATCGTTTCTTGTAACGTATCGAAAGAAAATTTTAATTTCGTTTTATGTTCATTCCGTGAAATATATGATGTATATGTGCTTAGTAAGGTTACTGTACACGTGTGCGGGACGGAACGACGCGATCGCAATGCAATTGATTGGAATTATTATTACATGTTTTGTTGTTTGTTTGAATAAACAATGAAAGGAGAAAGTAGACTTAAATTCATTTGTTTATATGCTGCCATTTCAAAACACAGATTAAACTACGCTGCTTGCGTGCTATCGCAGCCCTACTTCGTACAACCATTATCAAAGTCAGGAAACTGACATCGTCAACCTTATTTATACACTTCGTTTGAGTCGAAATTCGGATAAGTCGAAATATTTTCCACTGTCCCTTGAATTTCGAGATAACGAGTTTCGACCTTATAAGATTAGAGACATTACGAGGAATTAATACACGTGTGTCAAATCGGTAGATTTCAACATGAAGACATGAAAGCGCTATAGAAAGACATTTATATATTTCCATATTTTCAAATCCATATGGACTACAGACGTTTCACTTTCTTATATCTTCAGTTATGATATGGTCAAATGTGCATATCGAATAGAAGGGTTAGGAGAAACAACATAATTTTCTTACTTGTGTTTTGACAGTCGTTTCCATAGTATCCCGCCACACAACTGCAAGAATATACACCGCTAGCCGTGTTACTGCACGTGCCGCCATTCGTGCAAGGTTGGGCCAGAGTGCACGGATCTGAAAAAGGGATAATTGTCCATCAACACTTCTATCAACATGGTTTATTCTATTAAGTATTCTTCATGCACTTTGTGCACTAATATAACGAACATAATATATTTTTGTTGCTTGGATAAACTCATTTCTAATTCCGCCGTGGCAGAATTTGATAAGGTGAACTTCGTAGAAAATGAAACAGAAATAAAGATAAGTGAATAGTATAAATTCAGAATTTGTAAAACCAAAAAAATGAGTAAAGCTGCATTACACCGCGCTGCTTCGTGTTTGTATAATGACGCAGTGATGCGGGCCTTAATTTTGAAACCTAGAAGTTGGAGTCGATGACAAATAAAAATCAATGGAAAAAGAGTTTAGATGGTATATACACTAGCCACATAATGCAATAATTGATTAATTTCAGAAGAACTTCAAGTATATTTCTATATGTCATTTTTCGAAGGAATTAAAACGTGGATGACACGACTGAATGTGCATTACCTGACCAAGTGCAATTTGTGTCACTGTATCCGCTGACGCATGCGCAGGTATATGTAAGACCGGAAGGTTGGCATGTTCCTCCATTTTGACAAGGATTTGACAATTCACAAGGTACTATGGGAAACAAGTTGATACCATTAATGAGATAAAACATCCAAACCCAACATAAAGATAGAGGAACACAAGGTATCAATACCTAATTATTTCATAACACGGTGTCACATCTTTTTCTCTCTCTCGTTTTCCACAATTTAGTAAACTGACAAACTTTCATGTTGATAAAAACCTTTTTTTGGGTACATGATACTTATCCTGTTTATGAATAGAGACAACAAAGGGAATGGTGATATGTCAATATGGTCTTAATTCGAGCTCAGAATTTTACGACGGTGTGGCAAAACATGCGTAAAAATACAGAGACTCATGAAGCAGTTAAAAGAGAAAAAGACCAGGTGTTCCAGAAAAGTAAGCGTCTTCTGTTTTTTTCGACGATATCAGTCATGTGAATCTTTGTTAGTCAAGTAATGTCACATACGTAAATGAGGACCAGACCAACAACAAAGAAACCACCAGGCATGCTAAAGAGCATCAATTATTTCCAATTTCATACCAGGAAATGGAATATAGAATAGAATATAACTAGGGATATATATACATCGTTACTGCAGTTCAGATGTCCGCTTTGAAATTAAAATTTAATTCTTTTCCTGGTATTTATCTAGTTCACTCTTGGAGCAGTCAAAGGTTTTGGGCAATCTCATCATTTCTTTTACCGAATTTCATCTTTTATCTATTTTTTGTATCACTATTTATGGTTTGTTCTTACATTTGCATCGCTGGTTTTCATCGCTGTAATCAATTTACATATAAAAAAAAATGATAGGTACTTTATACTTACATTCACTTTCGCAGTTTCCGCCACTGTAACCGGAAGCACATGAACACGTATATGTACCGGATGATGGGTTGGAACATGTTGCTCCATTCTGGCAAGGAGCGTCAACGACACAGGAGTCTTTTGAATCAAAATGAAATATCAAGAAGTAAAATTGGGAAAATGAAATCGTTTTTTGATTTTGAACAGAAGTGAACATTCAGTTTTGAATTCATATGAAATTTACGGGTGTTAAATTAACAAGTGTAAATATGTTTAAGTAAATTTTCTGACGAATTCTCACCTTTGTAAGTACAATTAGTGTCACTGTATCCTGATGCGCATGCGCACGTGTAAGTAAATCCAGACGGCTGACAAGTGCCGCCGTTTTGACATGGGAGATCGATGATACACGGTACTGTATGACGAAAAATATTGAAAAAATAAACATTTACTATCATTTCACTTCAAAAAGTTTCTGATCAAATCTAACATTGAATTGCCGTTATTTGCGAATACCTTGTGTGATATAATAAAACTTTCTCTATGTAAAATCTTTGTTTTTCAGCTAGGGAATTTAAAATAACTGTTTTAATTCATACATGTATTATTCTCTATTTTCCAGGAGAGCAGTTCATTTAAGTAAAAGGAAAGGTTTCTGTACGTGTACGTTGACAACCTTACGTTTATTTTCACAATCTGTTCCACTATAGCCATTGACACATGTACACGTATAAGTTCCGGACGAAGGGTTGGTGCACGTGGCGCCATTCTGACAAGGTGACGTCAGAACACAAGGATCTGTTATAAAAGACAGCAAATTAAATATATTTTTTAATTGGCTGAATACTTTCCATATTTAAAGCAACATTCTCAGACATTTCTTTATTTCCATTTATCTCACCTGATGATTGACAATTCGTCCCGCTGTATCCGGTTGCACATGCGCAGGTGTAATTAAATCCTACTGGTTGACATGTTCCACCGTTCTGACAGGGCGTTCCGAGATCACACGGTACTTAGAAATAGAACACAAGATATCCAAAGATGTTTGCTAATGCAACTTCACAGCATTCTTACAGATGTTTCATGTTTGAAAATTGTTCTTTTACTTATCAACTTGCCCCTTTACAACTATAAAACATCAGATAATGCTGAGAAGAGTGTGAGGAATTCTTTATAAGGTGTTTCCATTTAATGACTCTTCAACATGCAGAATAATTGATATAACAATATATCAATATAATATATTCCGCACCTTGAAAAAATAAATAACGAATTGGAACGTCTAATATCATTCTTTTTTTGCCAAATATACCTATCTCTTTAACATAACTGAACACTTGGTTTTAATCCACCAAAGGGAATGAGTTTCCATATCTGGGAGATTTTTGTTGATTTCATTGAAAAAGATAACATGGAATCATATGAATAACAAACAGGATGATTTTCACATGTAAAAGAAATAAATTGGTAAATTATGTATATCTGTCGGAGCCCGGAAAGGACAACTTCCCCTCTATCGCGAGCCCGTTTAGGAAGACATGTTAATATAGATTATATTTTGCCAGAATATTAAATAGTTTATCTGGTTCTCGAGACGATCGTTGCTGCACAATCAAAGTGGTTTTACTTGTATCGCGTGACAAACGATTATAAGGAGCTGCGTTTCAATAAGGAAAAGTGAAATTCAGGTGGAACTAGCTGATCTTAACTCCCAGATTGACATATCCATGAGAATGAGACGATACCAATGATTAGTCTCTTTAAAACTCGTTGGAATGTGGCGTCTTCTTCTTGACCAAAATCATTAAATAATATCAGTAAATTTTTATACCCAACTTTTTGTGAATTTGATTTACTTACGTGTGTTTTCGCAATCTGTTCCACTGTAACCCGTGGGGCACGTGCAAGTATAGACGTTTGATGACGGATTGTTGCACGTGGCGCCGTTTTGGCACGGAGAGGTCAAAGTGCAAGGATCTAAAAATAAACGCCTCGAAAAAAATGACATTATATAGTTGAACAAAAAAGTGAAATGTTTCTTATTTAGATACACGTTTGAAAGAGAGGCTCATTTGATATACTATGAAAGGTATATGAATATTGTGTACATACAGATTAAGGATCAATTATTGTGTTGTGAATACGCAAATTAAATCCTCGTCAATTACAGCGAGATGAATAGTCCCGACAGATTTTAAATTACAATATTAATATTACAGCTGGTGTACAAAAGGTATTAATCTGTATCATTCATCAAGTACCAGCCGTAACACAATCACGTTGCTAAACCGAATTCTTGTGTAGTCAGGTAAAGTTGTATACAATTTTTATCTGCCATTTATATTTCACACTTGTATGCCGATGTATTGTGGTCGCCACCCAATCTATATTCCTTTGTGTCCCCTGCAATAATACTGTTTAAGTCGATATAAAACGACATTTTTTTAAAATACAAGAGTTGTATTCCAATATTGAACCAATATCAAATGCAGGCTGAAAAATTGTAATTCTGCTACGTGTGATTCTCGAGTCCAGAAAGTTTGCTCTGTAGCACGCTTGGCATACAAGAAGAGTCCAATGCTTTCACTCTTCACGGTGACGTGGAAATATCCACGGAGGCGATGTTATAGCCTCGACTTGACGCTATATTTGAATGTGGCTGTGAGAGAAGGACAACTCATCTCAGTATTAAGTTAAACGGACGTCCTTCATATTATTTAAAGATGAAATTTTGGTTAAGAATATATTGAAGAAATAGGATTCAAGATAACAAAATGGAAATAATATTATCTAACTATACTTTAAACAAACCAGAGTTACTCCCTCAATCTGTTACCTGTTACCTGTCCTGGTAATTGGATTCCAATATGCAAATTTTACCTTCGCAGTATTAAATGATATCACATTGAGAGAAAAGAATATATAGATGGCTTATATCAGGGGAGAAACAGGAGTTTAATTTTGTCATGTCTCACTCTGTTTGATGTCATTATCAAGAGTCAAACCAAAGCACACTTTAATAAGACTCCTCAAATACTTCACCGATGTTGTTATGACGATCATGACCTATTCACGTGGAAGTATTTTTATAGTGCCATGCAAGATTTAATTGCTATTAAGATAGCAGGTAGTGGACACTGCTGGTGGAATTTATATGGTGTCAAAATAGCGTTCACCTGCTAACTGGTAGACACTGCTGATGGACTTTTAGTCCTCGAGGTTTGCTGTAACCTGCATGCCATGTTTCAGTTCATTCGAATTGTGGCACGGTTCAGAATGTACACGTTTACTTGACGTTGTTCTAAAGTTGTCTGATGTATAAAAATCACGAAATTTATTCAATTAGGGGAGTGCAGCACTTCCTCGTCAAGACTTTTACTTTTTTTTTGATCACTTTAGATTTTCCTTAGTCTCCTCCTAGTGCACAAACTTCACACCCTTAACATCACTGACGGGTCCTAGAAGGCCGAAACACCTGTATGATGAGGTTTAATTCATTGTTTGGCACTATTGTATCAACCTCTGTATTAAAGGGTTCTATTGATTTCCTCGGCTTTTGTACAATCTTTGTATAAATGTCATGCTATTTGTCACATATGTAATTAGAAAGAGTAACCCCAATATTTTTAGAATTACAGAATACCTTTCATTCAAAATGTATTTGAAATATTGTTATAGCATATATATTCGTGGGGCTAAACTTTTATGCCCCCCCCCCAAAAAAAAAAAAAAATCAGTTTTTTTTTTATATAGCTTAATAAATCTGTTTTAATCCACAAAATCAATGAAACTGAATTCTCCATGAAAATGAATTATTTCAGAACCCCGCCCCCTTCCCCTCCCATATCTCAGTGTTTACCAGTGTTTATGATAACATTAGCGAATTTATCCGAACTGAGGTTTGTATGTATACATTTTAGAAGACCTAGTCCTGATAACACAGACTACCACAGAAGCTCGTGATAATTGCATGGCTGATGCATACTTTACCAGAAAACGATTTTCTTCATATTTTCGATATTGAAAACAGAATGATTGAACTCCTACTCGTATTGAATATGATGCCTTTATCCTCGTCCAGCATTGAAAACAAGGCGGATGTAAAACTGATCGCAACATGGTCAGACATCAATAGAATAGCCAGACCAGTTTATGGCTGGAATACATTACGCTATTGTATGTATCACGACAAGCTGACAGCTCATATAAAACAATAGTGAAATAAAAAAATATATGCATGCTCAACACTACATCGATTTTCGCTACAAAAATTGAATGTGCATGGATGAACAGTTGTTTCATAAAGAGGTCTGTTTGAAAAACGACTGCAATATTCTATCTCGGAAATGTTACGTTGTTACCTATGTTTGATCTGGTTTTGTTTACTACATTGTGAAGTTACAATCTGATATCAATTTGGTCACTATATTGTAAATTGACAAAATCTTATATATTTTTGTTTACTATATTTTGAAATGACACTTTAATATGGATTGCATACTATGTAGGATTCATTGTATGTGAATAAAAACATTTTTTTCTGATATTTAAAATTGTTTTCGGTTTTCATTTAACTTCGTGATTGATAAACGAAATAACATTACAAACATTTGCTGATATTGGTAAATTCTATGCATCATCCACATTTTACATAACCAATTTCAGTATAAAGAAAATACACCAAGCTTAAGTACTTCAGAAAGCGAGACACTGTGTAAAACATTAATACATTGTATAATTCCTTTAAATGATATAAATGATTAAGCGAAATTTACTCCGTAGTGCTTCAATAGTTTTAAATTTCTGTGAAATACCTGTGTTTTGAACTCACATAGATATTCTTTCACCTCTGTGGAACAATAGTGGGACGACAAGGACGAAATTCTTCTGTCAAGTGTAATTGTAACATTTACAGAAGGAAAATGTATTATTTTAACGAACTAGTATACAGTTTTGATAGGAAGTCATACCATACAAATACTTACCAGATTAAGGAGAATCCCTGGCAGTCCCCGGGAAAATCACGTACGCGTTTATTCATTTTTTTTTTGTTCCTTAGTCAATGATTTTTCGGTAGCAATAGTGTGAGAGTAAAACTATGAAAGTTCATATACATCATTAGTATCAATAGCTATGAGTCGCACAATAATACAATGTTATTGGGAGTAATAACACGGAGGAACAGGTTTAATTACCACATATAATTATATAACACACGTGCAAATTGTATTAATGTCAATAACTCATTAGATTATCACAGCAACAAATTCAACATTTATTGTTTGTAAGTATGATCAGCTGTGTCACGCAACAGACTTACCTATCTGGTCACAATTAGTTCCTCCATAACCAGCCGGGCAGGAACACGTGTGAACTACGCCCACGTAAGTGCACGTGCCTCCATTCTGACAGGGGTCAGGGTCACATGGACCTACGTAAAGGATATTTTAAAGGTAAAGTAGTTTTCTGTGCCAGTTTTAATTCAGGGATTCCTATAAATCAATTCTAACTTTGGTAAAGCAGACTTCAGATTGTCTAGAACTGTGTTAATTGTAGAATTTAGAATTAACTGTTGTTCAAGTAAACTTTACCAGTGTTTGTGTACATACTAGATATTATCTCAGCCTGAGTATCATGAGCAGTTTGCTATCTCAGAACTTTTAGACCATAAAAGTTTTCTTAGGCAGGGGGATGTTAATAGTGAAATTTTTCGCTCAAGTGTAGAACATAATTTGTGTTAAATCTTAATGTGACCGTCTGGCTTATCAGACAGATAGTTTAATTGCGGTCACCTTAGTGTCAGAATCATGTCGTGAAACATTTGCTGGACATGCTCTCCACCAGTGAGACATTAACTGGTCACAGTTTAATTGTAGATCAGTAGAAGACACTTTCCCTATCAGAATTAGATTATAATTACTTTAGGATAAACTGTAAGATCACAGCAAATAGAGTCAGTCCTGGTGTGGCCGTGAAAGGAGTAACTTGTTAAGCTCGATACTCAGGCCATACATGTTATCATTGTTGCAACTTGTGTTAATACTCAACATTTGTACTTGAGAACGGTTGTTGCTGGTCTTTTGTATAACATAAGGATAGTACAACATAGAGGGGTAACAATCCTAAACTAAAAACAACTGACACTCCTCTAAATAACATTTACAATATGTATATAGAATATAAATCGAATGGCGAAGGATTTTTAACATTACACAACCATGGCCTTGGATTTTTTTCCAAAAACAGTTTAAAGTAGAAGTTTCAAATAAAAATATATTTATACATAACAGTATAAAGCTAACTATTTCCCATCATAAACTTTAAACTAAGGAGATACAAACAACAACAGACATACTGGACACCTGACAGTGGCTAATAATTAGAGATAATAATAATAAAATTGTACTTACGACACAGGACTGTCAACACCACATGGAATGAGATAAAAACGAAACTTCTGTTTTGATCATACACAGAAATTGTAACCTCGTAAGACAGATAATATGATAAACAATAAGATATGTTTAATGTTATCAAATGTGAAATACCAGGTTTAAAAAAAAACAAAAAGAAAGAAAGGAAGAATGGAAGAGAGAAAGGTAAGTAGGAAGGAGCTATTAATTATTATTGTATCAACACGAATACTTCATCAAGATGTATGATACGTGAAATTCGTCAACCGACTATGGTATTCATGTATTTATATATGGTTATATGGTTTTGTATATTATATCTGTATGTAAAACAAATCTGATAAGGGCGTTTTTCCTTCCATATAAATACACAAGTAACAGTTAAAACGGTAATACGATGCCTTATCGTGGAGTATCACTGATTAAAAAAATAAATTATGATTTGCAATGAAATGGTTCGTACCATCTGGAGTTAGAGTTGCTTTCCCGCCAGCAGTGGGAGCTACAGTTGGAGATTGTCCTTTAGCGCAACTTCCACTATTAATGCTCAGTTCTGTGTTTGTACCCGATATCTGAACGGCCTTTTTATAAAAATAATGAAAAGATACTATCAGATGAATTGCAGTTTGACGGTTTATTATTGAACTGAAACATAATGATACACATTATGGCGTTAGTTCCTCGTCTACGAACGTGAGCAAGTGGAAAGTAAAAATTACTCCAAATGCGTCATTTGTAAAATAATCAGCTGGAATGGTCACGTGAAAGACCATAACAACATAGAATATCTGGTTAGTACCCGCAAGTAAACGGAAGTTGATTTATACTCACAAAGCAGGTAAACCGGAAGTAACTGACGTTGTCAACAGTGCCATTGTTGAGAGCCGAAACGTAAGAGATCACACCGTTGGTTAAGTAGTTTACGCAGTTCAGTGCCCCTTCCTCTGGAAACCAACACCATTCATTAGAAATCGATTTACGATGTGCGTTATGAATATTTTAATCGCTGTTTGACTGCAAACTCTTGTCGTTGAGACATTCGTGTATCGACATTGGAAATCTTATAAAAAAATGTTGATCGATAATACTTTTGGTGAGGGAAACACAAGGTATAAACAAAGTATCAGTTACGAAAACAAAGCATTACGCGGTCCCTTTAATAATTCATTTTTATATCCTTTATAGCAAGAGATACCTTGAAAGTTACGAAGATATATGAGAACCTGCCGTAATATTGCACAGAAGTTATGGATGAAATATATACATGTATACAATTGCAAATGACACAAAAATGACTTTTTTACCATGCATCTACTAGCGTGTTTTATCGGACGGGTCAAAACTAGAGACATATTCGTCAGTGAGTAAGAAATATATACAAAACAATTTTTTTTAATATAATAAATGTAAAATTGTTGTTCTTTTAATAACAAAAGGGTGCGTAAAATTAAACAATATTAAACAATCTCCTGAGAGATATTTAATTATGTGTACCCACGTGTAAAGGCTACAATCGTGGAACATTTTGTATAGTCGAATGACATCATTGTTCGATTGACACACATATCCCATTGGCTGTTTGAGGAACACGAGGTGGCGCCACTGCTGCTGGTATATGCGTAGGTGAATGTTCCCATTAGATCCACAGGAACGAACTGCCGAGCAGTCTCCTCGTGACCTGTAATGACGTCATTGTTGGCGTTAAGAAAAATCAACATAACTCTTTCGCAGTTTCTCTAATATCGAAATTGATACATGTATTTTGTATCCCTTCATTGCCAAATCCATAAGAATTTAAATTCAACTAAGTGTTAACTCATTGTTAAGAACAAACTCCCTCGCTCCAATAGGATTTTTTCCACTCCGATAGAAAAATCCCTGGTTCCAAAAGCTTAATCGGTGCATGCTTATCATATGAAAACCAAGGTGAAACATATACATCGAAAGGATATCAAAAATCATTGAAATCATCCAGTCACATGAGTGGAATGAACAAAGACAACTGTTAAAATGCACAGGTAGAGGATAAGATCATTACGCTTAGTTGTAACTTCTATAAAAGCAAATCTATGAAAACGCTAAGCCATGTTGATAAACACCGACCTGATTTAACCATCATATGGTACTCCTCAGTTCCCGGACCGGAAATACAATATTTCGCGGTGGTAGATAAAGCAATCGTTGCGTCTTCAATGTAAACCCTCATGCCTGCAGCATTTACTTCCTCATCTGGTAAAAAATGGAAGAAACAAATCATACAGCTTTGCTTCTCTTGGTGTAGACGATTTGGGTTTATCATGTGTGATCAATGACCACTGCTGTCCTGATGTAGTGTGATGCCAAAGACACACAAGTGAATAACACAATCCGATACAAATTTAGAATTAGATAGTTTAGAGCCACACAATGGATCAAGAATTATAGGTTATCAAAAACACACAGCATCTTTCTCTACAGAATTACATACATGAGGACCAACAATGCTAGCAACATATATACCCTGCCGGACCATAATAAGCATTTTTGAAGCAACTTTTCAAATACATTGATCGGAACATGCCATGAGAATTCTAACTGTTGTGTAACCCAATATCATGTACATGACAAATTCTTTCAGAAGTTTGTTGGTATCAAATGGTCTTGATCAGAAATAAACTACTGATGGAAGTACATTCTTCCCACACTAGGTTTCTTTTCTAAACTAACATTGTATCAAGTTTCAACCTAATTGGTTATCCCTTAATCAAGTGATCATCTGGAAACCAAAAATCTATTTTTAGCACCATTGACCTTTGTAGTTAACATGTTGATCACAGTGATCTTTATGGTTGACCTTTTGACCCCTAACACAATCCCACAGCAGGTACCATAATAAACTAATATTGTATTAAGTTTCATCCGTAACTCAAGTTATCATCTGGAAACCAGACAGACAGACACAGACAGACAGACACTATAGTCCCTTCCGGTTTTATCAGCAGGGGACTGATTAAGCGACGGCAGCATACCACTGTTTCGTCCTTCTATGACTTGTTAATGATGCCTGTGATATAAAATGTCTATAAATCTATGAGACGATAGAAGTAATTCGACATATCAAAATCTAGATGTGAAGTAGATAGGTGTTATGCTTATGAAATTTCAACATATTTGTATTTGTTTCGAATTACTAAAATATAACATAATAATGTATGTATACAAACTGGGAACACAGAGGTATATTCTTTACACACAAAATATCATGAATTAAACTTACCATCGGTCTTCATGTTTATTCATACACCAGGGATGATGGTAAGAGATCTTAATTCATTTCATACCTACATTCAAACAACTCCAATCTCTAAGACATATAGTCATTACTGTTATTGATGTAAAAACCTCTTACCGTACATAAAATAGTAGTAGTATGAGTAATCTGTAACTTTATGCCATCTTACACACAAGTACGAGTTCTGGGGTGCTCCGAACAGGTCTACGTTTTGATCTCCTCTAGAACAAAAAATCTGTCCAATGCATCTGACACCCAACAAATCAACAAACATGTTTGAAATCGAATTTTAATATCAAATCAAGAACAATTAGAAAATTTAAAAAAAGTAAAAACGACAAATCATGATGTCATCTTACTTTATATTTTGTAAAATTTTGTTATTCACAAGACCTCAGATATATGATTACAATACAGATATGCAATTACAGATAGACAGTAGATCGGGTACAGTTTCACAAATGAACTTACTAAAACGCAAAATATCATGAATTTATAAGGCCCCAGTTATACGTTCTTTTTTTAATGAAATCAATTATTGATATAATTAGACCTCAACGTTACTCTGTGTTAAAAGTGATGAAAAAAATATTGATTAATGTTTAATTCTAGTTTTCATTACCATTGCATTATCCAGAGATGTTTAATGCACACCGTTCGAGGAATGTTTTATTTATTAAGTGATGGGAAATGTATATAAACGTATTGCATTTTGCTGGGAAGAAAATCTTAATTATATTTCATAGACATCAGGATAATATTTGACTGCCGTTGTACGACCGTATCAAAGATCGATATAGATATATCGGCTTTTTAGAACAAAATTCATTTGGAATCACAACGAAACATGGACCCTTCAAACACACAAGTGGAGAATGCAACATTGAGATGTCAAATGTAGCACGTCACTGTAAATATAGGCTAACACATTGATCTCATCAACTAGATCTGATTTAAATGTTTGTCTCTCAACTCCAAACAAATCATAAACAATTAGCTATTGATAAAGCAAATAAGGTCAGCCAGTTCAACGGAAGTTCCATTTAACCAAAAAATCGAACCGGGTAAATCATTTCTCCCTCTAAATGGACAATATATGTTTGTAAGTTATTGATCTATCAACTTAGGTCTCAGACTCATCTCATTGCGATGATACTTCTTCGGGTTACATGGTGAAATCTAGCTTGCGAGAAAATCGGGAAATTATGATTCTTAAAATCAAGAAAGAAAATATATATTAAAAACAAGAAAATGCCAACATGTCAACATAATCATAATCCAAACTCAAATTCCATAAAACTAGGACAAAAAATTAACAAAGAAAAGATTTACACAGAAAAAAATACAAGGAGAATAAGACCAGGTGTTCCGGAAGAGTTATCGTCTTCTGCTTCATCGACGACACCTTTCATGTTAACCTTGATCAATCCAAGTATGTGATGTCATGTTTCCAAATGAGAATAAGGTATAAAACCACAGAACCAGCAGGTAACCTAACGAGCACTTAACAAGTTCAACTTCATATCTCACAAAGAAACAGAAATTGTTTATATAACTTTATCTATTTTACAACAATTACGAAACACCTTCTAACAGTCCCCCTTGTTGGCAAGGATAGAAGTCCGCAAGGGGTCTTTCTGTTGGGAGAAATGGGCATCTCGGTGTATGGCCGACCACTTAATTTTTTTTTTTTTTTTTTATTAAAATACATATTGCTGAATAAGACGGTATCACACAGATGTTTTCTTATTCTAAAAAATATGGTATCGTATAGAGATTTTAACCTACTAGTGTACAAATGTTGCAGTAAAGAAGGTATGATTGATCAATCTAATTATTTAATGAAATTAAATTTTAAGGAAACATCACTTCTGATGTTTATGGAGACCAAATTGTGTAGGTCGACGGGATTTCACCGGCAACTTTCATTCCTGTACGTGAATCCGATATCTCATTAAATACCCTTCATAAGATATCACATACTCCTTATAAGTTTCCATATTCGTTTTATAAATAGATGTGATTTAATTTCCTTTATAAGATACCGGGTATTCTTTATAATGTATCATATTTGTTTACGAGTAGAAGATATCTCATTAAGTATATAAGACATATTATATAGGTAAATGATACATTGTCTTTTATGACTTTGTTAAGCATCGAATCAACATTGTTCCCTGATTAAGTGCCGTAAAGGATATTCATATCTTAACAAGGCTCGTCCATATGAAATGAAAGTTTGTTCCGCAGTACAAAATGTACACGGAATTGTTGTCCATTTTTGTGAAAAAACACAGATGTGTAATATTTTTTTTTTTTGAAAACAAACAAATAAACGTAGTCATCAGCAGAATTTAACGGTGCACAAGCTGTAAAAGACCAATGGAATATCAGCACGGCAGATATACACGTACACCCCATAATACTTCTAGAAGATCAATGCATTACTTCCGGATTCCAACGGACCGATTTCGTTTGTTGAAATTGATTACATTTTAATACCCCGTTTCGCACATCAAACAATCTGCCCCCAGAGTTTATCCTTTTCAATCACTTTAAACTCTGAATACAGTGTTTTATTGATCAATGTCACGCAGTTCCTGACAATATACGAGGACTAATGCACTGTCAATCCAATATTGTTTTATATCAGTACACCAGCTCTTACAGCACCAGGCATAAAACACAGGACAATTCAAAACTCAATAACGTTCTTTATATTATCATTTTAGCATTTTTCGAATTTTACGGGCTTGAATACAAGAGACAATTAATGGTTAAACGCAATAAGTATATGCATAATGTAGTAGATGTATGTGACTTTAAACAATAGATGAATCTAATACCAGACGAGCGACACTCATCTAACGAATTTTGCAGTCTTGATATAAGTAGGTAAGTAAAATAAATACATAAAGTTCTATGATCAGATTTATTGTGTGTCATAAAAATTTAACGATATGTTTGATTTTTATCGATATGTTTCCTTTGTCTATGTTCTTCTTATTTTCGTTTAACTTCTAATATTAATGCAAAATATAGTTAGTTGTTTGATATTAGGAGGAAAATGATAAGCAATCAAGATACACGATCGTATTCAAATATCCAGAAGTTCCAAGGATTTACCGTAAATTGGTTACATTTTATGGAGTTAATGAGGAAAAGCCGAAAACTGTCTATTTTGTGAGAGAAAGAACTGATCGCGGCCCTTTACTGCTACATTTGCTGTAAACTAGCATTGAACTAGCCAATTGACTATTGCTCGGATACGCAATATCATAAGTGATTAAAAAATCACGCTTACAACCGACACAAAATGTTCAAGTTATTAGGGTTTCATAAGTGTTGATTTAGTCGATAGTGCATGCAGCTTTTTCCGAAACCAAAAGCTTCGCTTAAGAATCGATTGTGATAAACTGCGCATACCTTCAAACTGTATTTCCATCCGTGAGTTACCCTGCGTTACGTTTGTATGCGCTTAAATTACAGTCTTTTATCATGTTTTCCCGATAATTTATTTCCCTAATCGGAAATTTCCTTTATTGAAAAAATAAAGAAAATTAATTACACAATGCCGAACTTCTGTCTAACATCTGTTAGATATATAACACACGAGTATTACACATATACACTTTACACCTGGTCTTACTCTCCTGGTTATTTGTCAGGAGTTTCCGTGTAAATCTTTCCTTTATTCATATTTTGTTTTATTGAATTCGAGTTTGGATTATGATTCTGTTCACATGGTAGTATTTCTTTCTCACTTTTGACATGTCTGATCATGAACACTATAAAGGACTGAGTGTTTGAAGCTGTACAGGAATCGTATACCCATCATATCTTAATAAATTTCTTTATATCATTAAAACATTATGTTGATAATGTGAGAAGTTAATTATCTGATATTTGCATGTTGTTGAAGTAAATGTACACGAAATTATTTCTCTTCAACAGTTTGATAAAAGTAATTGTAATTCGTATTAAAACATATACTTTTTCTTACACTCTTTTTTTAGCATGAATATAAATCTGTATGACGTCATTTTAATCAAAACAACTACAAATTGAATCAAATCTGATTGATGTTTGTCCTGTTTATCAACTGCCACTGTGATGGTAACGTCCGTGATTTATGAGACGGTGATATTTATATTTTGGAAAATTTCAAAATGTCTAGTGATATATAATTAATTATTAATTTGGTAAATTAAAAAAAAGATACACTGTACATATATTACATATAATTTTTCTCTAACACGATAGGTTGGTGTTATTCGACTTCAACGGCATCAATTAATCATTACAGGTTTTAGGTAAATATACTTTCATACAATGCGTGGTATCAACATTTAAAGTGTTTTCATTTGCTGGCACGGTGAACTTTGACCGGAAAGGCGTTTCACGCATATATGACAATTATTCCGCGCAGTAAGTAGTTCAAGAGAACATAAACCTATCCATTGTTTGTCATGGTTGGCTTCCGTTCACATGTAATTACATAGTTTTTGTTCACGAAATTCATTATTACAAAAATACATGTAATTTTTTATTTTTGTGTTTGCGGTGGACAAATAAATCCACGAATGAAGAATAACAAAAAATTCAAAAATACCCCAACCAAAATGTTCCATTCTATAATATTTAAAAGATTATACAAAAGATAAACAAGTGAATAGCACCTTTCCATATTAAATTAGAAAACAGCTGGCATTTTCAAGATATCTCGTTTATTCTTTTATCAACATAATTTTTTATCGTTCTTACCTGAAAACAAGGTAATTGTTTGAAGTATCCTGCAGTACGCATGTCCATGACGACACTGGTGAACTGTATGCTTGCACGGGCCAGCCAACCACATTCTGTGATGAGTATGTTATTGTTATGCTACTAGAGAAACTGTCATACCATGTTCCGTCCCATTGACTGGAGGGTAGAGTACAAGTTCCATCTGGAGTAGGAAAAGGAAAGCAAAGACACAGTTTATAAAAATTTCTTTCCCAAAAATTAAGGATGTTGAGCACATGACTAATGATCCGAATTATTTAATTAATAACTCTTTGCGCCGCTCCAAGTATCATAACACACTTTTAAAACTTTGAAAAAAAAATACAGAATTTTGAATTTTATAATTTTATGATGTAGGAAACTTTGAATGCGTTCAGGCATTAAGACATAACAAAACAACAATTTACAAAATTTGCATACTTTCTAGACAAATGTAATAGATCTGTATATACAATACAGAATTTGACTTTAATGTCTAGACTGTCTCATTATCCCAGTGTCAATGTCCTTCATTTAAATTGCCCTACATCAAATTTATAAAAATATAGGATAATCAGTTTTGATTTTTTATAATTTTTGAATATTCAGATAGATAAGGCAAGATTAAAAAAAATACTGAGAGTAAATATTGAAGGTGAAATTTAAGAAAGAATTGTCACTTCTATACGAACCAGTTTGAAAAAAAAATAACACACTATAGATATATATAATAGAACAAACTAACAGACAAACTATACAACAAGGCTACATAAAAATCCCCCTCATGATGTACGATATTTCATTACCAAAGGAACATGGAAATGCCCATTGGTTTTCGAGCATTCCCAAACTAGTTCTTTCATCGATCTTTTTCACGTCCACGCAAAACCTATGTATACATAAAAACGGTGTTCACAGACGATGGGTCCACTTATGGGCACGTTTATAGTGTTATCACACCGAAATGTTATAATCCTGGACATTCAATGTGTTATATCATACAGACAAATAGCTAACCAGTCGTTGTGTCTCATTTAATGTTGAGCGATCAGCAGGGAGCTCGAAAAACACTCTCGTGACTTGTATGTCACGGAATAGGGCCAGCATCTATAGCATCCCTTGCGCTGACCACAAATACCAAAGGAGAGTTGGTGTAAAATGGGAAATCAGAGAACAAAGAGGTATGAAGAAAAGAGGGGGAAATGATGCATAGTCCCGTCTGACGAGTATTTAATGGAGGCAACAAGTAAAAATCTTACGTCTGACCTACAGAGCAGTCATTAATTGAAAATGTCCGGTGCTGTTTAGCAAAGAGTACAATCTGGGTTTTTTGTGTGTTATAGATCATTAACATAAAATACCCTTCATTAGCCAATCATACATGTCATTACAAAACCGTCGCCACATTAGCCAATCAAACGTGACGTTACAAAACGACGTTGATATCGTATGCCATGTGGTGATAACATGATAAGTGGCCAATAAAAATGCTCGTTTCATAAAGGATAAAATTATTACTATTTACGTTTTAGTAATATATTTACGGGGTGGTAATGTGTGGTAGATACACAAATTAAGCAATGTCGTTTCGTGAAAGGATTGGTAAATTCGCATGAAATGGACTTTTTGTGTTCAACCCGGCATGATGTCATTTTTTAAAATCCCTTCAATACGTATATTAATCTCCCTTTATTTTAGTCAGGACAAGAGGTATCGGCTGACGCACATCCATTTACTTTCATATACCTATGAACGTGTACAAACATTCTCGTACAGTTCAGTGAATATCTTTAAATCGGTGAATATGTAAACATGTAGGTATTGAACTGTTTCCAAACACTACTATACAGTTGATATGAATACAACCAGTGTGACAAATCCTTGAGACTAATAATTCGGATGGATCAGTGTGTTGATAGAGAGAGTGACCAGCCGTTGGAACCAAAACACGATAAAGTGTAGCATGCAATCTCATAGAGTATACGATCGTAACAATGTCACGGTTCACAACATTCACGTGTACTGGACGGTCTAAAATTATCTGAGGGCATTTCCACAACTAGATTTTGACATTTCTTTCGATCAATATGGATTTCCTCAGTCGCCTCCTAGGTTTACTATTTAGGCCCTTATCATCATTGACGAGTCCTAAAAGGACGAAACTAGTGTGACATGTGGCATCACTGACGAGTCCTAGAAGGACGAAACTGATGTAAGATGTAACATCACTGACGAGTACTAGATGGACGAAACAGCTGTATGATGTAGCATCACTGACGAGTCCTAGAAAGACGAAACATCTGTATGATGTAGCATTACTGAGGAGCCAAGAAGGACGAAACATCTGTATGATGTAGCATCACTGACGAGTCCTAGAAGGACGAAACTGCTGTGTGATGAAGCATCACCAAGGAGTCAAGAAGGACGAAACATCTGTATGATGCAGTTTAATTAATTGTTTGGTTCTACTGTATTTAATTTTGAGTTTGTATCAAAAGGGGTATTCACTTGTATGTCTTTGTACAATCTGTGGTATGCTAATGACACACTGTCAAAATAAGCCAAATAAGGCGCGTTCTTATTTTCTTTAATAGTAAGCAAAAGGATGTTTAGTTTTGTAAGTATCTACATGCGTATATTCAGAATAGGCTTATTTTCGAGTTTTCAGGGAACTAACAAATACAATACAGAATGTAAATATTGAATAATACATTCAATGTTGACGATACTGGTGTGAGGCGTTATGTATAGGGAAATATTAGTCATATGTAAATATTATAATGAAAACATCTGATTAACACTGTGTTAACTATTGAGGAGGGATTAAAGATTAACATATATATATACATATATATATCCCATTAACCTTCCTTAATAATGTAGATATATTGCGACAGGCTCTCTGTATGTTTATGTTAGACATATCGCCGTAAACAAGCTGCTGCAGTGCCGTAATTTTTCTATTTTTTTTTTCTACATTTCTCTTCATTAATTTTTTTTTTCGTAAAAGTTAAAAGTCGATCAAAACTTAATCATAAATTGGAGTGATCAAAGAACTGTGTGTTGTATCATTCACAGGCACGGATGATCGCTACCTGCCGACTTATGACAAGTCTGATTACTCGAACATCCCGTATTCCTCGAGCTATTGACATGGTCCCAGTGAGTTCGACTTAGCGGGGTTTTACTGTACATATCTATATCGATGTCCGTGATTGAATATATGTATTGAAATATTTCATCTCTGAGCTTCTTTTTCCCATTCTAGATGTAATTTGCAGCTGTATATGGCATTTTGTTGAATATATTGAATAAAATACTGTTTAAACTAAGTCAGACTAAAACGGTTTGATTTAAGATAAATATCGTTGTAGCCCTGTATAGTGACCATACATAAACATCTAGATGTATTTATCTTATCGTACATAATGTAAACTCTCATAAACTCTTGTATAAATATTTATCAATATTTTTTGTCATTGAGCCTTGATTTTATTCTAATCTGATATATATACGTCAAAATGTACTGGAATAAATTTGCTTAACAAATAAATGTATCATTTAAAAGATAAAGTAACTTTATATTTATCAATTTTTATATTATATTGCGAACAATAGGTCTTATTGTATTTTGAAACTCGTTCATACAAAATACCAGATATACATGTATAGTTCACAAATCTCTTACCCTACAGAATGAGCACAATGGAAACCAGTATTTCACCAGGGTGACAATACATAGAACTTTCTTCACGGATAATACGTAACCGGGTGTTAAGTAAGATTTAAACATCTATTAAAATAACAATACAAACTGCAGACACGCAAAAATAATCCATAAAATATACTCACCAGTTCCTGACGGAAAGAGATTCAAAACGAAAAAAATAAAGTACATCCAGTTTTCTTTCATTCTGAGATTAAATTTCCTTTGGTCAGTGGAATCAGACTACGACATCGTCACTCGAAACCCACATGTTAAATACCCGATAGCTGAGAGGAGGAAGCAGTGAAATACTGTAACTATAAAAATCAATGTTGTCACCAAGGCGGCAAGTTTGCCTCTGAATCCCGTATAGATTCTCACATCGCCACGTGAGTGGTCCGTCGTCGCAGGTAAAACATACAGGTTGGTGCGAGGCATGCTTATTACAAAGTGTCCGTATATACTGGAGGGAAAATGCATTAGGCTGATGCTAATCACTAAAGCCGCCAGACGTACGACACCAGACCAGATAATCTCAGGTAACGTCAGGCGCTTACTCAAGGAAAAAATGGAATGGAAGTCCTTGCTAATGAATAATCTAACGAATAAGACAAGGATCCGTGCTGAGCCTTAAGTTTACAAACAATTAGTAGAATTAAAACAAAGAGGCAAAGTGAGATATATACATATATATATATATAAACAAGTCTGTTTGTTTGCTGGGTGTACTTCCCTGTGAACAGCGTGTGTTATTTTGAGGCGGAGATTCCCTGGTAGTAGCTGGTGCTTACCTCAGTAAACAACATACGGGAGGCCCGTCACGTGTCATTCTGTTCGCCATGTAAGGTAAAGTTTTTTTGAAAAAGAATACAACCTTGTCAGCACAGACCGGTCCGCCACGGGTAGAGAGAGTCGAACCACGCCCCTCGGATCTACACCTGAAGATACGGAGGTCAGTGTTCTCACTGGCTGAGATATCGTGGTCAGTGCAATGTTTCAGATATAAGTCATAAATTAGAGAGGCATATCAAAATCAACATAATTCCAGTAATGTATAAATATAGGTATTTATGATTCTAGAGATATTAATTTAGCTTATGCGATATACCATAACCGCAGCTAAATCTCGTCAGATAGTGTTCTCAACTATACCTCGAATTCTAGTGGGCCCTTGTGGTCCAACAATAACAAACAAGGCCAAAATACCACACGCCCTTAGCATCACTGACGAGACTTAGAAAGACGAAACAGCTGTATGATGTAGCACCACTGACGAGACTCAGAAAGATGAAACGGCTGTATGATGCAGTTTCAACCAGAATACTTACACAATATAAGGCTAAGACCCATCTCTTCACATCCAGAGATAAAACCTTTACTTAATCCCAATGTACACCAAGGCGTTACTGAAAACTTGTTTGACCCCTGTGACTTCAAAGAGGGTCATGGTCATTCATTTGAACAAACTAGTCATTCATCTTTACATGGTTTCTAGTTTGGATCGGAAAGAGATGATAGAAAACTGCAGGCGAATCAAAAGTATACAATCAGAAGACCCAAAGAAGTAGTCATAGCCAGACATTACACCAACGATCAAAGGGAAAAAAAACTGGAAAGAAGTGAAAGATCGGAGAGAAGGAAAAAAATCAGCAAAGAAATAAATTATAGTTCATACTGACGCAAGAACAGAAAATCGAAAAACCGCGAAAATATACATTTCACTGGGGAATCCTCATAACAGCAACCAATAGACAGACAGACAGACAGACAGACAGACAGAGAAGGAACAGACACAAGTATCAGATGGACAAGAAGATGGTATCGACCATATCCTCACGAGACATCCGTTTACAGAAGGGTACCTGGGATGGTTTAGATGATGTACGAGGTCTGAATCAGACCATTTTTTTCACATCCGGGCGTTTCAAGTACACGATAATTAAATCATTGGCAGCAATTTTACCTCCATGAAAGAAAAAACCGTTAATCTTATGAAGAATAGATCATATTTGTTTGATTCATTTTATTTTATCTTATTTATTTATTAAAGAGCGTTTTGCCTCCGCTATTATGACCTTTGACCTTTCAATGAACGACAAAAAGCATGGATCCGTCCAAGGTAGCGTTAAATCTACCAGCGAGAACGGACACCTGGTAGTAAATACTAACCCGATGACTGATCACTAATGACGATTAACCATTAATACAGCAACATACAATGGGTCCCGCTGACTTTTTGAGCTGTCGAGATTACATGCAAGACGCATTAGGTGTCCAGTGTGGGGCTAATGACGAACGTAAGGTCGGGTTAGAGGGTAACACATACAGTGTTACATCTCTACAGATATCAACTTATAGGCTAACGTTAGGTCGGGTTAGAGGGTAACACATACAGTGTTACATCTCTACAGATATCAACTTATAGGCTAACGTTAGGTCGGGTTAGAGGGTAACACATACAGTGTTACATCTCTACAGATATCAACTTATAGGCTAACGTTAGGTCGGGTTAGAGGGTAACACATACAGTGTTACATCTCTACAGATATCAACTTATCGGCTAACGTCAGGTCGGGTTAGAAGGTAACACTTTGAGTGTTACATCTCTACAGACATCCACTTATAGGCTAACGTTAGGTCGGGTTAGAAGGTGACACTTTGAGTGTTACATCTCTACAGATATCCACTTATAGGCTAACGTTAGGTCGGGTTAGAAGGTGACACTTTGAGTGTTACATCTCTACAGATATCAACTTATCGGCTAACGTCAGGTCGGGTTAGAAGGTAACACTTTGAGTGTTACATCTCTACAGACATCCACTTATAGGCTAACGTTAGGTCGGGTTAGAAGGTGACACTTTGAGTGTTACATCTCTACAGATATCAACTTATAGGCTAACGTTAGGTCGGGTTAGAAGGTAACACTTTGAGTGTTACATCTCTACAGATATCAACTTATAGGCTAACGTTTGGTCGGGTTAGAGGGCAACACTTTGAGTGTTACATCTCTACAGACATCCACTCATAGGCTAACGTTAGGTCGGGTTAGAAGGTGACACTGAGTGTTACATCTCTACAGATATCAACTTATAGGCTAACGTTAGGTCGGGTTAGAAGGTGACACTGAGTGTTACATCTCTACAGATATCAACTTATAGGCTAACGTTAGGTCGGGTTAGAGGGCAACACTTTGAGTGTTACATCTCTACAGATATCAACTTATAGGCTAACGTTAGGTCGGGTTAGAGGGCAACACTTTGAGTGTTACATCTCTACAGATATCAACTTATAGGCTAACGTTTGGTCGGGTTAGAGGGCAACACTTTGAGTGTTACATCTCTACAGATATCGACTTATAGTCTAACGTTAGGTCGGGTTAGAAGGTGACACTGAGTGTTACATCTCTACAGATATCAACTTATAGGCTAACGTTAGGTCGGGTTAGAGGGTAACACATTGAGTGTTACATCTCTACAGATATCAACTTATAGGCTAACGTTAGGTCGGGTTAGAAGGTAACACTTTCAGTGTAACACCTCTACAGATATCAACTTATAGGCTAACGTTTGGTCGGGTTAGAGGGCAACACTTTGAGTGTTACATCTCTACAGATATCAACTTATAGGCTAACGTCAGGTTGGGTTAGAAGGTAACACATTGAGTGTTACATCTCTACAGATATCAACTTATAGGCTAACGTTAGGTCGGGTTAGAGGGCAACACTTTGATGAGTGTTACATCTCTACAGATATCGACTTATAGTCTAACGTTAGGTCGGGTTAGAAGGTGACACTGAGTGTTACATCTCTACAGATATCAACTTATAGGCTAACGTCAGGTCGGGTTAAAAGGTAACACTTTCAGTGTAACACCTCTACAGATATCAACTTATAGGCTAACGTTTGGTCGGGTTAGAGGGCAACACTTTGAGTGTTACATCTCTACAGATATCAACTTATAGGCTAACGTTTGGTCGGGTTAGAGGGTAACACATACAGTGTTACATCTCTACAGACATCCACTTATAGGCTAACGTTAGGTCGGGTTAGAGGGTAACACATATAGTGTTACATCTCTACAGACATCAACTTATCGGCTAACGTCAGGTCGGGTTAGAAGGTAACACTTTGAGTGTTACATCTCTACAGACATCCACTCATAGGCTAACGTTAGGTCGGGTTAGAAGGTGACACTGAGTGTTACATCTCTACAGATATCAACTTATAGGCTAACGTTAGGTCGGGTTAGAAGGTGACACTGAGTGTTACATCTCTACAGATATCAACTTATAGGCTAACGCTAGGTCGGGTTAGAAGGTAACACTTTCAGTGTAACACCTCTACAGATATCAACTTATAGGCTAACGTTAGGTCGGGTTAGAGGGCAACACTTTGAGTGTTACATCTCTAGATATCAACTTATAGGCTAACATTTGGTCGGGTTAAAGGGTAACACATACAGTGTTACATCTCTACAGACATCCACTTATAGGCTAACGTTAGGTCGGGTTAGAAGGTGACACTGAGTGTTACATCTCTACAGATATCAACTTATAGGCTAACGTTAGGTCGGGTTAGAAGGTGACACTGAGTGTTACATCTCTACAGATATCGACTTATAGGCTAACGTTAGGTCGGGTTAGAGGGTAACGCTTTGAGTGTTACATCTCTACAGATATCGACTTATAGGCTAACGTTAGGTCGGGTTAGAGGGTAACGCTTTGAGTGTTGCATCTCTACAGACATCCACTTATAGGCTAACGTTAGGTCGGGTTAGAAGGTGACACTGAGTGTTACATCTCTACAGATATCGACTTATAGTCTAACGTTAGGTCGGGTTAGAGGGCAACACTTTGAGTGTTACATCTCAACAGATATCCACTAAGACCACTTGTCTAAAATCGAGGATATTTTTTTTCAAATTAGAAATGATTATTCAGCGTCCTTTCAACTTAACTATCAAACGGACAGCTTTGGGATGTACCACTTTATCTTACTACCTAATGTGTTTTATGTGTCTTTATCGTAAAGAATTAAAATTCCACTACGTTGTTCTCTAGTTAACATCGCACTGAAGCTGATCTTAACATGATAATGACAACGAGAGAGCCCAGAGGGATCTTGGTGCCCACTATTTATTGATCTTTATATGGTCTGTGAAAGTCGGATATTTTCTCTCCTCTGTTTTTGCTCTTATTGATAAGACATTTGAACAACCCTTTGCAGAAATAGCGATGATAATCTTTACCTGTCAAATCAAAAATGGCCGCCTGGAAGCCATTTTCTTTCTTCTGATCAGTCCTAAAATCAAACGAGCACAAGGAGAGACCAAAGGGAAAATACGTATGAAATTTGAGGGATCAGTCCCAAACTCACACAGGCACAATTAAGGACCTACGGGAACATATACATAGAATTTGAGAAAGATCTTTTGAGTACTTCTCAAGAAATAGTGATGACAAACTTTCGGCCATTTTGTTTTTCTCATCAGACCCAAAATCGAATGGGGCACAACTAGGGACAAAGGAGAATCTACACGTTATTTAAGAAAGATCCATGGAGTAAAAAAAAAATCAAAATCCAAGATGGCCACCGTTTTGTTTTTCTGGTCAGCCCCAAAATTACATGGCCACAACAAGAGTCCAGGGGAAACCTATATATGAAATTGAAGAGAGATCCATCTCATACTTCTGAAGTAATAGCAATGACCAAACTTCACTGGAAAAAAAAACCAAGATGGCTGTCTGTCAGCCATTTTGTTTTTTTTTTATCAGTCCCAAGATCAAACAGGCCCAACTAGGAATCAACATATGCAATTCGAGTACTTCTCAAGTAATAGCGATAGCAAATTGTTTACGGACGGACAGACAGATGATGGACCCGGAAGCAGAGCGATTTGAATCGTTCACCATCTGATGATGGTGGGCTAAAAATAGGGATAACACAAACTTGCAAAGTCAAAATCCAAGATGCCATCTGTTGGTCAATATTGTTTCTCAGACCCAAAATCAAATGTGCACAACTAGGGACTAAGGGGAACCTACACATGGAATTGAAGAAAGATCCATGGAGTACTTCTTAAGAAATAGCGATAACAATTTGTTTACGGACTGACAGACGGATGACAGACCACGGAAGCTGAGCCATTTGCATCTGTCAGCCAGTATGGTTTCCAAGACCCAAAATCTAATGTGCACAACTAGGGACCAAGGGGAACCTACACATGGAATTGAAGAAAGTTCCATGGAGTACTTCTCAAGAAATAGCTACAACAATTTTCTGTAAGGACAGACAGAACACAGATGTAGGGTTATTTGAAAATTAAAACAGCAATGACAAATCTTGCACTGTTAAAAACAAATTCAGCTGCATAACAGACCAGGATGAAGGGCAATTTGAAAAACATGGCTAGGACTGATGGAAAACAATTGAATTGTGAGAAACAATTCTAACCATGACTGCTAGGGACAAAGATAAAACTTAAAACGGATTTATTTGACATTTTTAACATTTTATTTATATATAGCATTGATCAATAAGTTTCATAATAAACAATACTTGCAACAAGAGTTATCTCCCTTGAATAATAACATTAAATTAAGATAATGTAATCAACAAGGGATCTCAGAATTGTACAACAATGACTAATTCAAAAGAATTCTTTAGAAATTGTTTAATTAGAGAATTAAATAAATCTTATTCAAGGGAAGTAACTCTAGTCATGGTATAATTTTAAAAATATTTACCATGACAGAATGGCATAATATGTAACATTGGAGATGATGACAACTATTCTCACAAGAAACTCGCTCTCTGTTTCTCTCTCTCTCTCCCACACATCAAAATATCATTCAAATTCCTCATGTACACAATACTGTAAATACATATCCGATACTAACTTTCCTTCACGGTCCAAAACATATACTCACTTACATACACATCAGCCCTTACATAAATGCATATACAACATACATTAACAAAACAGGCAAGTTCTCATTCAATTCATACACAACCTCGCCAGTTTGTATCTTAAAACATGAAGAAAATGTGTTATATTTCTGATAACATCAGAATTACAAATCAATCCCAAGACGGTTAATAATGAGTTTTTTAATTAAGATATCAATGACTTCAGGATTGTTTATGTCTGAATATTTGTGCTTTATAAAGGTGATTTTCCTGTGTGTAAACACAATGAACTAAAATAGTTCTGAAATGTAACTGAAAAATTGAAATATATAACGGAAAATAGGAAATTGGTAGATTATAAGTATTGAAATAATCATACAGCAGGTTATCTGTAACATATATCTACATCTGCATTATCATTTACCTGGTATATCGTAAATATCTCCTTATTTCAGAATCTGCATTTCAAATGTAAGGGGGAAAACTTTTATAAGCATCCAAAACAAGACCAAATTCTGACAAAATTCCTTCATCTATACACAAACCTTTTGAACCACTATTATTCTGAGGCCAGCACTTCAGCCCAAGGAGGTTCCACACCTTATATTATAAATGTCCTCAGTCAAACACATATTTCATATTATGGAATGACTTTGACATTGCTGACAAGGCGAGCTGAAAATATTCCTATTTTTTTGTGCATACAGATGTCTAGTTTTGTTTTTGTTTTGTACAAAAAACGATTGTCATGTTTAATTTCACTGACAATATTCCAAAAGCACAACAAAAAACGTTTGGCAAAAAGGATTTAAAGTGTGAATGTTGATCAAGACTGTGTCAACAGTTATTAATCGAGAATTGGTCTTCGACACGTATCAAAAACTCGACTTGTAAAACGTACATGTATGGTGAGAAATGAAGAAGCTGAGTGATCATTTATGTTTCCATTCAAATTGAAAAACTCAAAACATGATGAAAATGTGTAACAGATCTGATTTTACAAAACTACATCATACTGTTGTACTGGAATGAACTTCTATACAGACAATTTTTTTCTGGAGTTAGAGGTGACAATGTAAACAGTAATGAACAAGAAACAATAAATAAAAAAACAACCACAAACACCTGACTACAATAAAGTCCCTCCTGCTTATGTGCGATAATAAATAGATCTAGAAAATACCCTGATATGGAAAACCTGAACAAAAAATGTAAAAAGGAACCATGAAAGATAGGCATGTCTTTTCTATACATTGTTGAAATTTCAATGGAGGTAGATTTTCCCATATTCTGTCTGGGTTAGAGAAATATCGAATCTAGAACTTGTTAGTTTTACTATGACTAATAAAGAAAAAACATCATAGCAAATAATATAACCCCCTCCCCATGACTCCTTTTCGTGGGTTAATTAAAAAAGTGTGCACCAATTATACTTAGTATGATTCTTATAATCATAATTCAGTTAATTCTTTTAGAAAAAATTGTGTATGATTACAAACGGAAAGAAAAAAAACAGGGAAAAATCAGTCACCACAATATCCGGACTAGCAAGGTTTCACAGATCCAGCAGACATAACACTCATTTGCTCATCAACATAACTTAATAAATTTGAGAATGTACAATATGAATTTCATGAGTCTACCTTTCAACATGACAATAGAAGCACTCCCATATACACAACTTTAAAGTAACCTATCCATACCATTTGTAAACACTTCAAAAGATGTGTCTTGTATAAAGACAAATACACAGGGACATGAATGGATGTATCTAGCTTCTCACAGATATGTCTGTATGGAGATGATATACAAAACCTGGTGTATGTCTCTAGCAGAAGCTCTGAACAGATACGTCTTATATTGAGAAAAATACACAAGAACATATCATACTCTAGCTCATCACATACCGGATACACCTAAGTCTCTTCATCACATTATCTAATTCATAAAATGTACAAATTTATTCAAATATAAAATATTTTTCCCTGGTACCATACATTTGCTGAAATTCGGCTGGGTGGGTGGGTGTAGGTGGGAAGGTAAGTGGCTGGTAGGAGGGGAGTTAAGATATATTATCCATAGTTAGTAGTTCACAATGATATCTCTCAAACTTGGTATTCCCAGAGTTATCTCCCTTTTCCTCAATATCATGGGTCTCTAATGTCACAATTCTGACAAGAATCATTTTCATCTTTCCTTAATTTCATAAAGATTTCTCATCTAAAAATGAAATATATATATATTTGAATCTTGAATAAATTTTGTACAAAATATAATTATCAAATGTATGAAAAAGAAATTCAAGAAGATGTCGCCAGCAACCATGCACACACGAGTACATACAAACCTGTATCTCAATGTTGTACAATTTTATCATACAAACATGCAAAAATCTACTACCAATGTGTACTTACTTTATAAAACATGACTGAAGTGCAGTTACATTCAACATGTACACTATTTCAGTATCATAGCACACATTTAGTCCATTGCTTAAAAGAATGGACCAGACCACTCCCTAAGCACCACCAGTCATTGTACTGCCCTCTACAGTCAAATGGACAGCTCTTCAAACACTTTTCTCTCAACAGAAAAACTTCCACCATATTGCATTTAAATTATTTTGTTTGAATTCTTTTGACATTTTCTGAAGTTAGGTAACCTGAAAATATTTATTTTATCAGGTTGAAAATCTCACAACTTTGGGAGTTCTACTTGTAGAATTCCCAATACTTAGACGTAAATCTTTCATCTCTCATTTGATGTGCTACTGATAGAGCTGTGGCAGAAAAATCCCAGAATTTCCATGTCTTTGAGAAAGTCTCTAGAAATGGGATGGTGATCACAGTCCAACAAACACAGGTCTTCCAATGAAATCATTTTCACGTCAACTAAGGGAGACCACTACAGCAATATGTGGATTGTTTTTAACAGCCATCCACAAATAATACAATACCATATTTAAAAACTTAAAATCACTTAAAAATACATACATATATATATATATATTATACATATATATATATATATATATATATATATATATATCATACTCCTTTTCAGTTGGAGAGCTGTTTGATGTACAAAATCCTCCATATTTTGAGAAATAGTTTCCCCTCCTTAATCTAAAGGTTCTGCATTTATGGAAGCACAGCAAGTGTCTACCAGCCTGAATCACTATGTTGAACTGTTGTCCACAAGATACTTTCCAAACATTTTTTTTTTTCATTTTTCGTTTAAAAAAAAAACCTATCATGAGACATCAGATGAAGAGTTATCTCTCCTGATCAGACCTTTGGATGAGTTTTGATATCTAAGAGCTTACGACTCCCACATTGTTTGAAATCGCAACGACTTTGGGAATGAAATCTCCAGTCACCACAGGTCAGATATATTTGAACCCTATCAACAGCTGACCTTATAATCCTGTAGCGAATCTCTTCGTCCAAAGTCGAGCAACACGATCATGTTCTGGCCGATTCTGGACATACTGTGTGGCAATGCTACCGACCAGCGGGTCGGAAGGGTTACAGTCGGTCAATAAAGAGCAGATGGAGAGAAGAACTTTACTGATGGTCAGTGCTGGACTCCAGTTGTCCTTTAGGATGTCCAAGCAGATAACACCCTGACTGTTGATGTTACAATGATAGATTCTTGTGCGAAACATCACCTGTTAACAGAATCAAGGTCACAGAGTGAAGGTCACAGCATGTGATAATAATCTATACAAAAATGTTTTCAGAGAAATCCAAAACAAAATGAAAAAAATATTTAGCTTTAGTCATAACTTGTCATAACATGGTAGCTCCAGGGCAGCACAGGATTTATTTTTCATTTTAGTATTATTTCGCCTGAAGTATTGATAGTCAATCTTTAAAATTTCATCTGATAATAGTTCCTTCCCCAGGGCCATAACTAAATTCCATATCTGTGTAAGTCTAGTCCTCCAAAAGATATGCGAAAAGTAGCATTCAGAGGGACAGAACCCATTTGAATATCCCACACCATCTTTGTTTTTGAGGAATTATAATGTTAAATGCCAGTTTAATCTCATAGAAATTTATAAGCAAGACCAAGAAAAATACATATTGGATTCATCACAAAACTAGTTCTGTCAGAGGTATATTTTTGAGTCAGTAGGTCCATGCCAGATCAACAAATTTAGACTTTTTGGAGGTGAAGAAAACTCTTCGTTCCTGGAGAAATAGAACCAATGTGTGGCTGATACCTGGTGGATGCCTGAAATAAGCCTCAAACCTACAATCCACAGGTGGAGGGAACTAAAGGTGGTCAGGTGCCTCAACCACTAGGCCCCATCAGCCCCTCCTTTCACTAACTAAACACCAGTCCCCCACAGCCCTCTATTTCACTAACTAAACACCAGTCCCCCACAGCCCTCTATTTCACTAACTAAACACCAGTCCCCCACAGCCCTCTATTTCACTAACTAAACACCAGTCCCCCACAGCCCTCTATTTCACTAACTAAACACCAGTCCCCCACAGCCCTCTATTTCACTAACTAAACACCAGTCCCCCACAGCCCTCTATTTCACTAACTAAACACCAGTCCCCCACAGCCCTCTATTTCACTAACTAACCGCTTGTCCACTGCAGCCCCCTTTTCCACTAACTAAATTCTTGGCCCAAATGTACTCCTAGTTTACCAACAGAACATTCAGAAACCACAGCCCTCTTTTTTCACTGAATAAAAACATGTCCAGAAATGCCCTCTTTTTTCATTAACTAAACACAGCCTCCTTTTTTTCAATTAACTAAACACTTGGCCAACACAGCCCCCCTTTTTTCAATTAACTAAACCCTTGGCCACCACAGCCCCATTATTCACTAACTAAACACTTGGCCAACACAGCCCCCCTTTTTTCACTGAATAAAAACATGTCCAGAAATGCCCTCTTTTTTCATTAACTAAACACAGCCTCCTTTTTTTCAATTAACTAAACACTTGGCCAACACAGCCCCCCTTTTTTCAATTAACTAAACCCTTGGCCACCACAGCCCCATTATTCACTAACTAAACCCTTGGCCACCACAGCCCCATTATTCACTAACTAAACACTTGACCAACACAGCCCCCCTTTTTTCAATTAACTAAACACTTAGCCAACACAGCCCCATTATTCACTAACTAAACACTTGACCAACACAGCCCCCCTTTTTTCAATTAACTAAACAATTGGTCAACACAGCCCCCCTTTTTAATTAACTAAACACTTGGCTAACACAACCCCCCTTTTTATTAACTAATTTGCCCCTTAAATCTATTATCAAAAAAATTACCCAATATCTACTCTTACCTTTGGAGGTTTAAATGGATAGTCTGGTGCAAAATGGATATCCAGGAAGAAAACGCCGCCCTCATACACAGAGCCCGGGGGTCCGAGTATCGTGGATACCCACTCGTACATGTTGTCTCCCTTTGGACCAGCACTGAAAATAAAGCATATTGCTGTTGATTACAGAGGTTAAAGTTGCTACACAAAAATCTGTTGTGTTCTGTCATACTGCTTCAGGTATCCTAAAAGACATAAAAAGATCCTGTTTCAAACAAGGATGTCTTACCAGTGCAGCTGACCTGGAAATACAATAACATGAACAAATGTTTTGTACCAATATTTCTCTGGTTACCTGTACGTTTATCCTTTTTTCTCACATTAACAGCACTATGCTTAGAGAGAATAGGTTAGCACAATGAAATCATGTCACAATATATTGATCTTTGCTTGTTGACTCCTTTATATCAATTAAAATCACAATTTTGTAACGAGACATCATGTATAACAAGTCCTGTGCTTTTTTCTGACATAATTGAAAACAACCATGTCAGCTGACTATCATGTATTTTATGTAACAGTGTTGATATTTCTATTAGAAAAACAAGGAGCCGCAAAGCATGGCATTATCCCCAGCACCCAGCTGTTCGTGTCAAACCCAAATATGATATATAAATATGCTGGTATAACAAGTTGTGACGTCACTCAATTATGTACCGCTACTATCACCCAAAGATCTAATACAGTGGAAACACTAGTGCAAAATGTAACATCTTCTTTTGTCAATTACCAATTAAATATTCTTGCATCTCCTCAACTTCAACATTATATATATATCTTATATATCACCCTTATAGTAAGAGTATATCTTTATGTAGATCCTGTGTGTTTAACTGCTGATGTTTGAATAGAGCTCCGTATTTGCTATGAACAAATTTATGCAACACTCTTTATGCTCTGTAGTAATACAATAAGTCACAAGAAATTGAAAAATTTGATGTTAACAGAAAAAAGATAAATAATAAGATGTCCTCAATAAAACTAGGTACCACTAGGGCACTAACCTAATATATACAGAATGTTTTGTGGATTTTTTTTGCTATGTTTCTATGGTAATAGAATAAATATAAAAGAAATATTGTCAATAGCAAAAGACACAACTAGGGCATTAACTTAATTGTATATAAAGCAAGTTTTGTAGTCGAGTTTTAGCTTGAAAAAAACCAGCGGACGGACAGACAGTACAAATTAATATCCCCCGCAAACGTGTTTCGCAAGGATAATAAAACCTGTATTTCATAGTTGAATATGACATACATGGTTTGATATAACTTTTTTTTATCTATTAAAGCTAAAATTATCTTTTCCTCCTCCTAGAATTGACACCTATTCCTCTAAAACAACAATTTCTAAATCAACACACGAAACACTTTTCATTAACAAATTCGGAATATTTTATAAATCACAGAGACCTAAAAACTTATTTTCAGGATTTTTTTTTTATCTCTTTGGATTTTCCTTCGTCACCTCCTAGGTTTTAAATTTTAGGCCCTTAGCATCACTGACGATTCCTAGAAGGACGAAATGGCTGTATGATGCAGTTCAATTCATTGTTTGGCACTATTGTATCTAACTCTAAATGATAAAATGGCGCTATTCACTTGTGTGTCTTTTGTAAAAACTTTAGGGATGTTGGGAAAATGTAGGAAGAAAAAGGATACTTTGTTTCTCCTTAAGAAAGATGCTGTGCGGTTTGTAAACTAACCATCCTCACCTATCACCACGATAACAGGATCCATCACCACGGTAACAATGCGTCTCTAGTTAACACTTGTACACATATTACCACAGCGATTCCCAAGGCTGTATGAATTTTATTGATTATTCTCAAGATTCTAAAAACTTCTTCAGTGATGAAACATCAATTTACTTAGATTACAATCACAGAGAAAGAATATGTTCTTGTCAGATTGAAACAAACTACTTTAAGGGAGCTTGCGACTAAGCCCAAGGTCATAGTGTTTTCTCTCAAGGTCATGATTTCCACTCCATAATGTAATTTTGTGGTTGACACTTCAGTTATGTTATAGCAGTATTTAAATAAACAAATGCTACTTCAGTCTATACGCTGCTAATACTCCTAAGAGTTGATGTATGTGAAGTCTGTTTGCTTAATTATCAGTTCTACAACAGCATTGTTGGGTTCCATTTTTTGCATGACAATACAACATATCTGGTTTAAGAATAGGAACTTGCAATATGTATTTGGAGTTGTCTCCCTTCCATTATTGAAGAATCACCATTAAAGTGAATTTTCAGTAATTTCCAACAAAACCCCGACTTCTACAGAGAATATTTCTGTTGCCTGATAAAACTGATGACATTTGATTTCACAACAATATGACAGTATAATCATGTTATTAATTAAACATTTAATAAGAAAGAAAACAGTATTCCCTTCTTTTGACCCATGACCCGCCCCTCTTCCCCAGTAGGGGATAGAAACGACTGATTATGGAGAATATGAAAGGCAGGTCACAAAACCGATTCTTGTATAAACCAGCCCCTCTGGCCCCAGGAGGGTATAAAAGCAACTGATTATGGAGAATATACAAAGCAGGTCCCCAAACCGATTCTTGTACAAACCTATCTCCTTTTGAAACCGAACAAAATGGTGATGTACAGAATGATATCCTCTTTATTGTAGTTATAAAAAACCTCCTTATACCAATTCCTCTCAACTCCAAATTACGGACCAATTTTGTATCCAAAATGATTGAAAATAACTTCTGAAAACCAGCCTTACCTGAGTGATCAAGACCAGAGTTCCAATTAGTGGAACATATAATTAACACCTGTAATTACAGTTATAACCTTTGTACCTCCAGAGTGTACCTGTCATGGTTAGACTTTGTACACAAGACCTACCCTGAACTGGAGGATTATGATCTACATTACATACAGTGTAACAAATGAATCCATTGTTTAAACGAAGCTAGAAGTTTGTTGAGCTTTGACCACAAACATCTTTCCACCAGATATCAAGTTTCTCAAACTTCTAGTTTTACCATTAATATTTTACAAGCTTTAACAAATTTGACCAATGTGACTGTGAATATGGGTCAAGGTCATTTCTTCTCCCAAACATTGTTTGGTCTTCCCCAAGCAAGGAACCTGTCAGCCGAACAGCCTTGCTTTTTGTTCCAATGGAAAGTTGATGCCAAATGGACAGATGGATGACTGACCCAGAACAATGGCATGCACTCAATGAGCCCTTTTAATCAGGTGAGCTAAAAACACCGACTCATCAAATATATTGTTTGGAGACACTTTCAGACAAGCCAACCATCTGACTGGGGCTAGGTCAGGCCACATATAGCAAAACTTCTGAGACAGCTGAAAAATGCACATTATTCTTTTCGAGTAAAGTCACATGTAAATAATTATCACTGTCTTTTTCTCCTTATGGAAATATTTTTACTCTAGATATTTTTTTCTGTAAACATTTAGACATGTGCAGTATAAATGCAGACAACAAATTGAATGGTTAATGTAATATATCAAACAGAATTAGTTTAGCTACATCAGAGTCCTGGCCCCACTTTCCTCAAGTCAAGATTTTCCTCAGCTGACATCTCCTCAAAAACGGCTTGTATAAAATTTTCTCAAGGAACAGGAGGAAGGCATCAGCTAGGATGTCCTGAAATTCCTGGATGAATTTTCATACAAGATATTTTCAAGGAGATATTAGCTGAGGAAAATCTGGGCTTGAGGAAATCTGAAATTGAGATATTTTATACAAGTGGGGCCTGATCAGTCAACTTAATCCAAACCTAACCGTCCCTAAACCAATCAAATACTAATGTCCCACGCATGGTCGGTTTGGAGAAGTTCTACTGTATATAGACTTGTATGACAGAAACAGTATAGGCTCTATCCTAATTACACAATGCCTTGAGGTAGTTAAACATTCTGATAATCAACTAGTATTTTTCATTAATGAATCCAAATTGCTTCACTTGTAATTGATATGGAAAAGTCCTAGATTAAAATTTTAAAGTATTACTGATGCATCTATAACTACAGCTATAAATATAAACAGGAATTGATAACAATCAATTTCATTAACAGAAAATGATAGCTATTAAAAAACAGACATTTGATATACATTTAAATTGAAATGACATTGTAATGAAATAAGACTGCAAACATAGAGCAGTGTACATTTAGGAGTACTAGTGTGTCGTATCAGATAACTTGTCATCGTTCTGTAGGTAATCTTACCCACTGTATTAGCAATGTAATGGGCCTGTGTCAATCCAGTGTCTCTGGAGCATGTAGCACAAACCATCACACTGTAGAATCAATGCAACAGACCTGAGAGTTCAGGATGGTAAATGTGAGGGTAATTGACTGTTATGTAGGACAACAATCTAGCTTTATCTGATAATGATGGACAGACCAGGAACCTGTCTGATGTTTGTGATCATCATTATATACCATCTCAACAACTCATCAATATCTCACTGATGTTCTGTACATATAATCAACCTGTGTATACTGACCCATCAATATCTCACTGATGGTCTGTATATATAATCAACCTGTGTATACTGACCCATCAATATCTCACTGATTGTCTGTATATATAATCAACCTGTGTATACTGACCTCCCCAACAACCCATCAATATTTCACTGATGGTCTGTATATATAATCAACCTGTGTATACTGACCCATCAATACCTCACTGATGGTCTGTATATATAATCAACCTGTGTATACTGACCTCCCCAACAACCCATCAATATCTCACTGATGGTCTGTATATATAATCAACCTGTGTATACTGACCCATCAATATCTCACTGAAGGTCTGTATATAAAATCAACCTGTGTATACTGACCCATCAATATCTCACTGATGGTCTGTATATATAATCAACCTGTGTATACTGACCTCCCCAACAACCCATCAATATCTCACTGATGGTCTGTATATATAATCAACCTGTATACTGACCCATCAATATCTCACTGATGGTCTGTATATATAATCAACCTGTGTATACTGACCTCCCCAACAACCCATCAATATCTCACTGATGGTCTGTATATATAATCAACCTGTGTATACTGACCTCCCCAACAACCCAT